CACTTCAACCACGCGCTCCAGCAGCTCAACCGCCTTCTGCACCTGTCCGTCGGCTTGGTATGCCATCGCCAGCACGTGCTGCGATAAAAGCCGGCCCGAGTCGTCTTCGCTACGTTTGCTCCTCTGCTGATACGACTTCTCCAGCCACACCACAGCCTCTCCGATCCTGCCGTCCACTCGCAGACACCGCCCTACCAGCAGACTCAGCTCGGACAGCTCGGACAGCTCCTCTGCGTTGCTCTCCCGCCCACCACCAAGCAGCCGTAACGCATGCGGCAGGTATGCTCGCCACACTGCCTGGTTCTCGTAGTCATCCGACGGGAAGACGTCTGCGACATGTCGCACTGCACCCGCTGCTACACCACTTGTATCGCCGTACTTCCTGACCCAGATCCTCGTCGCCAGGTGCACCAGACGGTGGACGTCGAACCACTCTTCCTCGTCATCTGCCCCAGCTGTGTTGTTACTCCCGTCTTTTGTCCCACAGCCATCGCCATCTCGTCTGGTCAGAAACGAGTATCCGCACAGCGTGCCGATCGCCTCTTCCATCCGCGATTCTGACTCTGCGCTTGGCAGCAGCGTTCGCGGTATGGCCTTCCACTCCACGCACGATATGAACCCCAGCAGATCCGCTGCTACAGCGTCGTGCTTGCGGATCTGGCTGAACGACACAACCCACGTTATCGCCACTGCATTCGCTGAGCCCTTGTACCGCGTGTCGTCGCGGAACTCCCGGCTCATAACACGGACAAGGTCCTGCTCTGTGCTGTGAAGCAGCTGCAGGTACTTTGAGATGGACATGCGGTTCATATTCAGGTACGCTGCCGCCTGCGCAATCGCCAGCGGCAGGCACGTCAGCTCATCCAGTAGCTTTTGCGTCATTGTGTCGTCGCGAAGAAGCTCCGTCCTGATCAGCGACTTCGACAGAAACTCTCTTGCGTCTTGCCAGTCCATCGCCCCTAGTTCTAGCGCATCTCCCCGCGTCAGTGACACCGCTACCTCCAGCGTGCGCGTCGTGTACATCACTACCCCCTGCTCGCTCTCCGGCAGGTAGTCGACGATGCCCTGCGACTGCTCTGTCCCGAACAAGACGTCTGGGTCGTCCGCGTTGTCCACCACTAGCATCCACCGCCCTGCTCGGCTCGCGCTTAGCCACGCCTTCACCAACTCTTTCGCGTCTTCCTCTTTATCCGCCGCCTGCGATATGCCGACCGCTTCTGCAATCCCGGCACAGGCCTGCTCAAAGCTCTCCATGCTTACCGCAGGCACCCAGAAGATCGACCACTCTGGCTGCGCCTCCTTGACTTCATACACAAATTGCAGCGCTACCTGCGTCTTGCCCGTTCCGCCAAGCCCCACGATAGACATATTCTGGCAGTCGCGTTCCACAAGTAGCCTCTGCCGCAGCACAGCCAGCTCATGGCGTCGTCCAACAAAGTATTGGTTCTTCAGGAACGGTATGCAGTAGGTTGGTTTGGCTATGCGCTCAGAATGTTCCATTAGTGTCGATGCACCACTGATAGATACGACAGCTACACTAACCGCTTGCCTCTCTGATCGTTTCCTCTGCCGTGCGCGACTTAGCCACCTCTGCTGGCGGTATCACCAACAGCACCTCCTTCGCGTACGCTGCCGCTGTCCCCGCCGCGTACGCCTGCCACCGCTTGTTCTTGTGCGAGTCCGCGTAGTCGCACACCCCGCGCACCACGAGACACGGGAAGCTGTTCATCAGCCCCGCCGCCTCCATCTCGAAGCACAGCACCCCCGCCAGCTCCACGCTCAGCTTGTCTCTCACCGCTGCGTTCTTGATCACCTGGTTGCCAGACGCGATCGTGCCGTAGTGCGTCACCACTTCCTCTTCGCTGTCGCGCGGCTCGCGAGCCTCATGTCTCGCGACATTGCACTTGTCGCACGTCTGCCCTCCCTCGTGCTCGTACGATGCTTCAAACAGCACGTCAGGTCCGGCCTTGCTGCGCTGGAACTTGCTAATACTCCCTAGCTTGGCGATATGCTCACACAGCTGGCTTCGGCCCCGCAGTTCGTTTGCCCGCACTCTCGAAACAGCTGCTAGCAGCATCTGCGGAGGTGAGTTGAGTGCACCCGTGCGCTTGAACCCGCTTAGTGTCATATCCCCTGCATCGTACTGCACCACTCCGGCGAGCGTCCCATGCGGCTGGCTGACCACTACGTCCCCCAGCCGCACGTCTGCCTCTGCGCTCGGCACGCCGCCGCCAATGCCCACCATCAGCCCAAAGCGGATCTTCTTAAACGTTGCTCGCATCTGCGTCGCCACAGCCGCTGCTGGATTGTTGCCGATGCAACCAGCAGGCAGGCAAACGATCGCGACGTTGTGGCCGCCGATCGCACCGAGCGCATATAGGTTCTCGTCGTTGTCCGCGGGGTCGCGCTCAAGGTCAGGGTGCTCCTCGTCGAGCATCTCCTGCGCGGCTGCCAGCTCGACGGGCAGCGCGCACACCCATCCTATCGTGTAGTCTTCGGGGCGCAGCAGGCGCGCCATTCGCGGTCGTTACGGGAAATCCGTCACGGAATAACTAGAATGGTGGTCAAGGTAAGAGACAAGGGCCACTGCTGCAAGATGAGGACGGGGCCTGACAGTAGGAGAGGACTCAGCCCTCAGCCTTGCGACGCGCCCAGCGCTCGCTTGTCTGCATGTTGTCAGCTGGTGGCAGCAGGCAGGCTGAGGTGGGCCGTCGACATGACATCCAGTGGGACGGCTGCTTGTGGGGGCGAGAGCCCAATCAGGCGGGCCGCGCAGACATGGGTGGGCTCCACCTTCCACCTGTCTGTCGAGGTATGCGCCACGAGTGGTCGTGTGAAGCTGATTAGAGTTACCAGGGCTAATTCGATAGGCATCTGGGACCTCGTGCTGCCTGCGGCCTCATCAAGTCAGCTCAGAGACGTGCGAACTGAAGACCAACTCGCGCCTCCTGCAGGCTCACATCTAAGAACCATGCAAGAAGGGACACTGTTTTCTAGGTTCTTCCAAGGCTTGACTGACGGCGATGTGTTTGAAGACTTCATAGAGCAGCTTCTCCACCACTGCAGACCGTACCCACAGCCGAACTCGGTGCTCATCATGGACAATGCCTCCTTCCACCACACCAAGCGCGTCGATCAGCTATGTCATGACGCTGGCGTCAAGCTGCTGTACCTGCCGCCTTATTCGCCCGACCTCAACAGCGGTCGAGCTGCTGCAGCGCGTGGTCGAAGTGCGAGAGAAGACGCTGTTGTCAGAGCACCCTGATCGACTGGCGTCGCAGCACGCACTTGCAATAGCATACCGAGCCGACTGACAGGTGCAGAAGGCGGTCGAGCTACTCGGACATGTAGTTGCCGTCGAATCAGCCAACTGCCTTTAAGAGGACCACCCTTTGCGGCTGGTGTCTGTCGGAGCACTGGCTGACATGTATGGCAAGCTAGCTACCGACTCAGACGAGACGTTGTTCTCTGCGTCGCCTAAGAGCCCTTCTACAGCTGGCTCTGCTGACTTTGTTATGCCCAAGTGCGACTAGAAGCGACACGCATCGCCGTTTCCTACTCGTATAGACCGAAGTTGATCGGATGGCTAGATGCGAGCTGAAATTAATTTGATGAGAGTAACAGAAGCAAAGGCCTTCTTCCTCTTTGCAACGACGCATTCATGCCAAGCCCTTAGTGTGCCTGCGCAGGTTATCTATCTTCATCCCCCTTCCTATGCCGTAAGGCAAGAGTGAAAGAAAATGGCCCATTTGAGGTCTTAGATCCTGCCTATAATTATGCTATACAGTAACGTAGTTTACAAGCAAGTCGCTAGTACAAGCGAGTTGCTAGCCCCACCAACTTTCTCATCTATCTGACTTGGACGCGTAATGGCTCTACGCTGCGTTGCCTAAACTGCTTTAAACAAAGCAGATATTCAACTTGCTATCTTAGTTCTTAAATTAAATTAAATCTAAAGCAGCCTGCGCGCAGCTGAAACGTTTAATGTTCCTTGATCAACGCTGCGCAACTGGCGCGCTGGGAAGCCTGCTAGACGCGACTGCCAGCCCAACTCAAAGAAGCTCACAGAGCTGGAGGAGGAGGTAATTCTCAGATACATATTAGACTTGGACCAGCGTGTATTTGCGCCTACGTACGCAGCTGTACGTGATATGGCTGATAAACTGCTGGCTGCGCGTGGCGATGGTCAGGTTAGTGTCTACTGGCCGCGCAACTTTGTTAAGCGTACAGACAGTCTCACAACGCGTTTTAGTTGAGCATACAATAGGCAGCGAGCTCTATGCGAGGATCTAGCTCTAATCAGGAGCTAGTTTAAGCTTGTAGAGGAGACAAAGGCTAAGTACAGCATCTGCGATGATAACGTCTATAACTTTAATAAGGCTAGCTTTATAGTGGGTAAGATCACAACTTAGCTTGTTGTGACAGGATTAGAGAGGAGAGGCAGGCCAAAGAGTATCTAGCCAGGCAATCGCGAGTAGGTAACGTTAATTGCTGCAATTAACGCTGTTGGCTGGTCAGTTCTGCTGTTCCTCATCTTCGCTGGCTAGTATTGTAACGACGCAGGCAAGAAGAGAGATATCCGGAGCAGGTGTGAATCCGCTGCGAGGCACATGGGAGTGCTAGGATGATAAGAACACCAGGATATATTCTCTACACCTATAGGTCTTGTACAAAAGGATATAGAAAAACCACTCTACAATGCTACAGTTCCTAGCTCCTTATATAGGGAGGTTCGGAGGCAGTTTGGTGTGACCTCATGCCATGCGACAAGGGCCATGGTCATGAGTCGCTAGAACTGTATCCTAGTGGTATCGGGTCACTGTTCGTAGAGCGTTGTTACAAGCTCTGCAAGGAGAACAATATCCACATGCTCTGCATGCTGCCTTACTTATCCTACCTGCTGCAGCTACTTAATATTAGCTGCTTCTTGCTATGAAAGCGCGCGTACAGCTGTGAGGTTGAGAGCCTAATCTGCCACTACATTAACCACATTACTAAGCTTGAGTTTCTGCTAGTGTTTAAGGCAGCGTTTAGTTGATTGTTCACCTCAACTAAGATCTGCTCAGCCTTTCAAGGCGCAGGTCTTGTGCCTCTCTGACTAGACGTTGTACTGTCAAAGCTTGACGTGCAGCTGTGTACGCCTACTCCAGAGGCTCTCCCAGAGGCTCCCTAGGAAGCTTGTACGCTGAGCAACGTACGTGAGCTTGAAGCTTAATCAACGTTGATACGTGAGCGCGTGCAACAGCATAAGAGCTCATCACCAGCTTCAATTATTAAGGCGATTGGCCAGCTCAAGAAGGGCGCTGAGGTGATGATGCTCTCAGCTGAGCTGATGCGCGATTGGATTGCCAGCCTTAAGAAGGCTAATGAGGCAGTGTCAGCGCGCAAACAGCGTAAAAGAAAGCGTATACAGCAGTTTAGAGTCTTAACAAAGGAAGCTGGAGAGGCTCTACTTGCACAACGTGAGGCTGACCAGCAGATTGAGCGTGAACAGTGTCAAGATAGAGAGCAATCAGGCCTTAGCCGCCAGGCTCTCGCGCGCTGCAAGAGGTGCAGAGAGACTGGACACAACTCACGCACGTGTAAAAAAGATATTGCAGATACTGCTTAATCTACTGCGTTAATATCTATATACCAGCTCATGATGTGGTTGAGTTGTACGCCTCTGGAGGTGCCAAAGTTGGTTGGGGCTGGCGACTCGCTTGTGCTGGCGACTCGCTTGTACTGGCGACTCGCTTGTAAACTCCGTTACACAATTTACATTACACCGATACCCCTGCAATCCACTAGCACAGGTGTGAAAGGACCCCTGTCGTGTGGACCGTGCGGTGAGAACAACGCTGACGCGACAACCGGAAACCGACTGTGCTCGCCTCTGTATGCGATGACCGCCAGTCCCAGTGCCAATGGACGCACTGGAGTCCTGCCCGTCGTCCTGCAGCCCAGCAACAACAACAATAACAATAACAACAACAATAACAACAGCAGCAGCAGCAACAACAGCAGCAGCAGCAACAACAGCAGCAGCAACAACAACAATAACAACAACCGCAGCAACAACAACAGCAGCAGCGGCGATGACCTCGAACCGCAGAAGCCCAACAAGGCACCAGCCACGGGCGTCCAGGCAGCCGGCATGCGCGCCGTGGCCGCCCGCATGGTCGCCTTCTACTTCCGCGCGCCCGTCAAAGCCTTCTTCCGCGGGCGCATCGACTACATGGGCTATGCGCGCGCCATCAACCCACACGTCGCGGCGCAGACGGGCTGGAGCTGGAGGATGACGACACCCGCTGTGCTGGCCCACGCCGTGCGCACCGAGGGCTGGGCCTTCATTCCGAACCAGGTGCTCCCACCGCTGCTGGCGAACACGTGCATCGGCGCGGTGCTGTACACGGCCTATCTGCACAGCCTGTCGAGCTTGCACGAGCCGAGCAGCCACCAGACGAAGCGCGTGTACCCGCCGCCGCCGCCGAGCACCACCTTCACCGCGGGGCTCGTGGCGGGCGCCTTCCAGTCTGTTATCGCCGCGCCCTTTGACGCGCTGCAGACGCGCTTCCGCACCGCCGACATCCTGGACGGGACACACAAGACCATGTGGCACTACGCAGGGCACAAGCTGCGCTCCATTGGCCTCCAGGGCATATTCGCCGGCTGGACGCTCTCGCTGTGCAAAGACGCCCTCGGCGCCGCCGTCTTCTTCAGCGCCTTTGAAACAGTAAAGTCCCAGGGCTACTACGCCTTCATCACCTGGCACTACGGCTCGCGCACGCGCGACAGCATCCTCGACACGCAGCCCCTGAGCGCAGACGCACCCCACGTCCCGCGCCCCGTCATCGCCCCGCACTTCGCCCTCGAACCCACCTTCCTCCTCCTTGCCGGCATCAGCGCCGGCCTCGCCTCCCAGACCATCCAGCACCCGCTCACCGAGCTGCAGGACGTGCACTTCCGCCGCCTCGAGGCCCTGGACTTCCAGGCCCGCGAGGACCCGCGCCCGGCGCAGCTCATGCGCCGCTACTACCACGCCTACCAGGAGACGTGGCGGCAGTGCCGCACCCTCGCCACGCGCGCCGGTGGGTGGAGGACGTATCTGTATCGCGGCTTCTGGGGTGCGACGATCAGGCAGGTGCCGAGCACGAGCGCGGGGCTGATTGTGTTCGAGCTGGTGCGGCGCAAGTACAGTTTTGAGAACGAGGGAAATGTCACGATTGATCGGGAGCGGGAGAAGATCTTGCTTCGCTAGTGGGCTTGGTGTGTTGGACGTGCAAGCAATTTCACTACCTATGCCCGGAGAAATTTCGGTCGTGTCCAAGGAAGCCATCTAAGAAACCCACCCCAACGCCCTCAACCCCGCACGTTCCTCACAAAGTTCCTCACCGCCTGCCAAACCATCACCCCGCACACTGTCCATCCAACACCCACCACACCCCTGATGCGCACATCACCCGCCTCGCCGCACCGCCCCTCGTCCAAGACCTGAGACCCACACGGCGCTGCTGACTCTGCGGGTCTGGCAGCGTCGGTCGTGATGGACGGAGTCGGTGGGAGGCGCCCCGGGCGGTGTGAGGAAGTGGGGCATGTTATAATCCCCGCGTCTAGACTGCAGGAGTTTTGGGTCGTGGGTGTGGGTGTGGGCGTGGGTGTGGGTGTGGGTGTGGGGCAAGACTGAATCCCCGCGTCCAAGCTACAATATTCGTGTCGTGCTGGAAACCGCCCGTGCGCAGGCGCTACCTGCCTGAGGAGCTGAAGCGGCCGCATGTCAGCACCAAGAGGATTCGGAATCGCGGTTGGTGCGGTGTGCGCAAGGAGATGCTGTTCCGCGGTGGCAGATGCATGTGCAACAGCGGTGACCTCGGCGATGACGCAGAGCGTCAGGGAGAGAAGCGGTGGGGAAGGGATCATCGAGTCAACGTGTGATGGCGTGGGGAAAAGGGTGGGGTTGTGCTGCTGCCACTGCATGGTAGATGACCAGTGGCGTGTGAAGCGCAGCTCAGAGTAAACAAATTGATCTACATCGCATTCAAAGCGCTACTTCACCATTGCTTCGCCCGCCAATCTATCAGTTCAGCATCACAAAAACCTCCTCCCGATGTGAATTCTACGCACCGCTGTCTAGACACTACTACTACCGACCCCAGACCGGGTGCGAGATCGCGGTTTGGTAACGGTGCTGGTGCGGCGCTTGGTGATGATCGATGTCACCACAATCGTCGTCGTGGGCTCAGCCGTGCTGGTGCTGGAGACGGGGCTAACATCACTACTGCTCTTGCTCAAGGGTGTGGCAGACGACGTCGAAGCACTGCTGACGGGTTTTACAGCACTGTTGACGGGGTTTACAGCACTGCTGGTATCGGCCGTGGCAGCGCTCGACGCCGGCTCTGGCGTTGTGTTGCTGCTGGAGGTAGGCGCCGGTGTGCTGCAGACTTGTTAGTTGAACTTCAGGTTAGTGAATGTCTTACTCACGAAGCCACGTGTTCCAGGTGTCTCGTGATCGTCAGAGTGGACGTGTGTTGTTCGGTAAGTCGCACTGTCGTGCTCGGCCGCCTGCGGGTGCTGGTGCTCTCGATCGCGATCTCAGTAGCCAGACGCAAAGTCTTGGACAAGCTGATGAACTCGGTAGTGCTGTTGATGTACGACGTACTCGAGTCGAAGATCAATGCGCCGGGTCCGGAGACGGCCCTGGAGAAAGCGACGGGGATCGAAGAGGTGAGTGTTGATGTGACGACGACGACTTCCCAGATCTCCTGGTACCGCTGGCACTTCATCCTGCCGTCATCGAGCACTGTGCAGACTTTGACGTCCACGTCAGAGGGTGCGTCGCCGGCTGTTAATGACTGCCATGGCGCAAGCCAGTATGTCATGAGCCTTCGCACTGTCGGCGCAGGTGTGATGAGAGCTGACGCGCTAGTTTTGGCAGGGGTTGGTGTAGGGGTCTCCAGGCTGTAGCCACACTCGCTTGAGATGGTGATCTCCTGATCGCATTCCGACACGGTCACTTTCGATGCCAGACCAGTGAGGGTGGTGGCGCATATCGTCTTGGTCGTCGTAGAGTACTCTACATCGCAGCTGCTGGTTCCAGAAATGTACTGCGTGAAATTTGCAGACCCGTTGAAGAAAGGTCCGCCCGCGATGGAGGAGAAGTAGAGAGCAGGTCCAACGCAGAAGGTCGCCGTCGGGATAAAGGATGTGACGACCTGGCTTATCGATGTTATCTCGACCGGTGCAGCATCTGAAGATGGGTAAATGACTGTGAGCGTGCTGACTGGAGGAGCGGGAGGCGGTAGCGTCGTCGTCTCGGTAGTGGTGGCTGTGCTTGTGGATATGGATGTGGTAGTGAGGCTTTCAGTGATTGTGAAGTCTACAGTTATCGCTGAAATAGAGAGTGGCTCGACGGCAGTGATATTGTAGACTCGATGCGGAAGCTGATGGTCAGCTGCAAAGGAGCGTGGTAGTTGAGAAAGGACAGAAGCGATGCCGAAAAGCAGGGTCGCTGAACGCATCTCGGTTTGTATAGTAAGGAATGAGTGTTGAAAGAAGAGAGGAAGATAAAGAACGTCGATTTTGATGGCTAGGCTGGAGCAGAAGGGCCAGTTGACGTGGCTTTGAATGGAATGCGAAAGGGTCGTGGTACATCATCCCTTGCCTGCGCGTTGCGTGGATATCGACTGTCATACGAGACCTCGCATTGATCTCAGACCCCCGTTCCAATCCCAAACTCCTGAGAGCAGCTGAAGTCCTGTCTTCTCCCCCAGTAGGCACAATCCTGACGACGTATTGTTGCTACTGCGCAAGGCATTTCGCGTGGAGTGGGTTGACGTTGGTCCGTGTCATGGTCTCTTGAAGTCATACATTCAGATCCCACGCAGTTAGAGAGCTAATCATTTCGAGCAACAGTATTGGGCAACAGTCGTTCGCATTTGCAAGTTGTGTTGAGGGCCTGAGGGGAAGGCGCGGTTTCTTGAAAGGCCCACTTTTCCCCACTCTCGGAGTGCAGGACGTCATCCGCCTTGCATTGCAACTCTTTCTTGCCTTGAAGGAAGCAGACTTGACTGTTGTGGTGCTGCTGATCGCCAGACGGCAAGGTGACGTTGAGTGTGTAGAGATGCTCGACTGTCCTTCGTGATGAAGAATTGAGCACGTTCAGGCGAGGTGCCGAATCGTATTCCCGACCGGATATATCCCCTGCCAGTACTTCGTACCTACTGAACGCTCTTCTCTACACTCACTTCTTCAATCAGCCGCACCAATACTACAAGTCACTATGGCATATGCGCGACCAATCAAGCTCGCAGTCTTGGACGACTACCACAACATCGCGCAGCAGCACTTCTCCCACCTACCCAGCGCGCAGGTTGAGATCACCGTCTTCAGCGATACACTTCCATCATACTCCCATTCTAAGACCACAGATGCCGAACGTCAAGCACTAGTGGAGCGATTGCACCCCTTCTCAGTCCTGAGCACAATGCGAGAACGTACACCATTTTCAGGGGAGCTGCTGCGCCAGCTGCCTAATCTGAAAGTAATCTTCGCAACAGGCGGGAAGTTTGAAAGCTGGGATCTGGCGACAATGAAAGAGCTTGGTATTACTATTTGCGCTGCGCCAGGCAAAGGACGCACGGATGGAAAGGGAAGCGGACTGTCGCCACGCTCGTTGCCGATGAGGCAGGGTGGTGGGCACCCGACTACGCAGCATGTATGGGCCTTGATCCTTGCACTGGCGAGAAACGTAGCTGCAGACGATGCGGTCGTTAAAGGAAAGCGTGGAAACAAGGCGTGGCAAACTGGACTAGCGATTGGGTTGCAAGGAAAGACGTTAGGCCTTGTGGGCTTGGGAAAGATTGGGTCTCACGTCGGGAGAGTCGGTGTTCTTGCATTTGGCATGAGAATCGTCTGCTGGAGTGCAAATTTGACCCAGGAGAAGGCGGACCAGCTCGCGGCGGAGGCCGGCTTGCCAGTCACGGGAGGAGGCATGATTGCAGATGACGAGAAGACGTTCAAGGTGGTCAGCAAAGAGGAGGTGTTCAGTACTGCGGATGTGGTCTCATTGCACTACGTGCTAAGCGAGCGATCGAAGGGGATTGTTGGCACCCAGGAGCTGGCATGGATGAAGCCGTCCGGCCTGTTGGTAAATACGTCGCGTGGACCATTGGTAGACGAGTCAGCTCTGCTTTACACGCTTCGCAACGGGCGCATAGGAGGCGCGGCACTCGACGTTTTTGACATTGAGCCGCTGCCAGCAGACAGCCCGTGGCGCAATGAGGACTGGGATGCGAAGGGAAAGAGCAGGGTAGTCTTGACACCACACATGGGCTATGTAGAAGAGGGTACGCTTAAGATCTGGTATGAGGAGACTGCAGAGAACTTGGAAAGATACCTAGAAGGGAAAGAGCTGCTGAACGTGCTCCAGTGAGTTCAACGGGCCTGGCTCGCATGGTGGAGTGGCATCGAGTGCGCTCTACACTTTCCAGCAATACGTAAAGACGATTCGCTAAGAGTGATACATCCGGTTCTGAGTGTCGTGCATCGTGGAAATCGTGAGGCTGTGCGACTTCGAGGCATACCTGTCAAGACCAACGTTGGCTCAGAATGAGTCGACGGGCTGCAGCACGGCAAGTGGGGCATGCATCTGATGTGCCTTGCACAAGAACCGCTCTCCTCCCAGAGACCACAATCTGCAATAATTTACCAGACCGTTGAGCCATGAGCTTCAGCAAAGCAGAGTATCAGAAAGAAGAATTCGTGGCTGGCATGCCACCAGTGCCAGAGGGCGAGTTCTGCGTTTTCGGCATAGTAAGCTCCCACGATACTTTGAACGACTACCGCTTACCAGCGCAGGTCTATGCGTATCCAGAGCATGCGGACGCTCTCGAGGCTGTGTATGCAGAAACAACGCGGCTTGCTGCCTCTGAAGCGGGCACAATCTATTACTGCATAAGCCGTGATCCAGACGACCGAACGGTATTCCACTTCTTTGAACGGTATACTGGCCGCGCCGCATTCGAGAAACACAATGCGCAACCCATTGTCAAGAAGCTGATACAGGACAAGCTCTTCAGGGGCGTGAAGGCGAAGTTTGTGGAAGCTATCAAGCCAGCAAGCTCGTGATGAGCGCTCAGCATTCGACTCACCTTTGCGACGTGCCCGATGAGCAGGCCTACCCATACCATCGAACACAGAGCTGCCCGGGATGTTGAAAGGAGGCGCGTTTGGACAATGATGGAGGGGCAATAACTGTCCCCAGAGACAAAAGCAGCGTTCTGCGATCACGCAGCCCGTGGAGGGGTACAGGTTCTGAGCGCTGCATGTACTGTCGAGCATACACGCCGTCACGAGCCATTTGCAAGATCGATGTAGGATCTCTAGTGGGTGTTGGGAGGCCGCGAACAAGTGTGGCGTCAAGAGCAGGCTGAGCAGGAATGATAACACCGTACTCTACGACTAGCAACGACGCCATTGTTAGATGAGCAGAAAGTCCTCTGAGACACTAGGTCCACCTCCTCTGCGCCTGTGTGTTGGTGAAAGGGCAATTGGGAGGTTGTTTTCGTGAACCGTGACTGGCGCGGCCGTCATAACATGGGGCCAAATGGCAAAGACGTAATGACGGCCGGCTAGTGCGGAAAGCACGGAGCTTTGCTTCATCTCGCGTGCAGCAAGCCTAAGCCCGCCATCTTGCATCCTCCCACCATCATGCCATGGGCTTTCGCTCTTCCACCAACATGGTGCGATTCACGCCGCTGCGCCTGCTGTGCGCAGCCGTGATGCTGTGCGTCCTCTACCTGCACTCGTCCCTCCGCGACATGGTGCCGTACGTTGAGCGTGGCTATGACATCCTCCAAGACCGGCCCACGCCCGCGCGCCCAGCCCAGACCAAGATCCGCTATGGTGAAGAGTGCTCCCCGTTCAAGAGCGGGGTCATGGAGGACGTGACCATTGTCTTGAAGATTGGCGCGGGCGAGGCCACTACGAAGCTGCCCGCGTATTTGAACCGCCTCGGCCGCTGTAAACAAGACTTGCTTATCTTCTCTGACCGCGAGGCCACTTTCCAAGGCTTCGAAATTGTAGACGCCCTCTCCCATATCCGCCCCGAATACAAGTGGGAAAACCCCGACTTCAACGTATACGATCGCATACAAGCCGCGAACGACACGCCCGACCAGTCACCAGATGGCTGGAAGCTGGACAAGTACAAGTTCCTCCCAATGACGGAGTGGACATCGTACTTGCGACCGGACTCGCACTGGTACCTGTTCATTGAGATGGACACATACGTCAACTACGACAACCTCTACCGCTTCCTAACGAACTTCAACCCCAAATCGGCGCATTACTTTGGATCACCGGTTTGGCCGAAGAAGAAGGCGCCTTATGCGCGCGGCGGTAGTGGCTTCATACTGTCGCGCGGGGCACTGGATAAGCTCATGGCTCGTGGGAGGATGTTTGCAGAGAACCACCACTTCCCAGGCACACACTTCTTCGGCGAGGACGTGGCTGAATCTTGCTGCGGCGACGAGATGTTAGCCCAGGTGCTGAAGAAAAGCGGGGTCCCTCTTCGCGGATACTGGCCCATGTTCAGTGGCGACAAGCCCCCCACACTACGGTTCGGCCCAGAGCAATGGTGTGAGGCTGTCGTAACGATGCATTCTATGCAAGAAGAAGACTACACTGGTCTTTCACAATGGGAACAAGTCCGAAAACACCCAGAAAGGGCGTTGATGTTTGAGGAGCTCTTCAACCTCATCGAGCCGCGGCTACAAGGCAAGGCGGACGACTGGACCAATATGTCAGATGATGTGATCCATACCAAGGGCGCATCAATTAAGTCATTCAACAACTGCGAACGCGCATGTCTGAAAGACAAAAAGTGTCTACAATACGAACACACCGGCACACAGTGTAGACTATCGCACGGCATCAGACTCGGCGAGCAGCGGCTATCTCGTGAAGACGAGAAGTACGTGTCAGGATGGATGCTAGGCCGGATCAAGGATTTCAAGAAGGCATATTCGCCTTGTCAAGGCGCGCACTTCGTTTACTCCAACCCATGAGCGACTGTCTCTCATGATCATGATTATGACATGATGTCTCTTTTACGGTACATGGTTTACTGCATTGAAGGCGTTTGATACCTATCGCGTTTTGGCCGGCGCTGTATGTTGTCTATACCGGCGCCTTTTGGCCTACTGCGACTTGCATTTTAGTGTTGAGGTTGATTTAGACGACAATGTGTTCGCTCTGGCTATGTACAAGTACAAGACGACGCTCATCCACAAGGGCTGCGTCAACATGTACGCATTTTGCTCTTTCATCGCGAATACCAACGAATAGCTATATCGTAATTTAGTCTAATGATATTGTAGATCTTCATTACTGCGACACGGCTAGGCCAACGCTTTTACTTTGTGGTAAGCATCAAGCGCCCGGAGTTCACAACCAACTACGCAGCCCAATGGATCAAAGGATCTGCCAGTGAGCAGCTGCTCGAAAGAGCGTAGTGCCCACACGCCAAGCGCGCGTCTTCCAGAAGTATAGGTACGTTTGCTGTTGCCTGTGTTGTCGTCTTGACACGGTAGCATAAAGTAAGACTCGGCCTACAGTTGACATGATAAAGCTGCTGGCGCATGACCAATAGAAGGATACAACATAGCCATGACCTCGATACGCACATTCGAAACGGCCGAACACAACCCTCAGACCACGCCAGTCGAGGATGCAAAGCGGCTCGCAGCATCAGAAATCCGAATCGAAATCGCCGAAGAGAAAGACGCTCGTAGAATCGTAAGCAACGAACCCATCCCAACCCCAACAAATCTCTTACCCCTCCGCCAGGCTGAAGGTCTCTACGTCTGCTACCCCGACACCTCAATCGACGCAATAGAGCCACCTCGCCTCCGCGCCCCAAATTACAAAGAAGTCCGCGTCCAGCGCCTCGCAAAAAGATTCCAGCCCACCCTCGCTCAGCCCGGTATTACATGGATCAAAGCCGTCCACGTCCCCACAAACACCATCATCGGCACCGCCTGCTGGACCGGCCCCAGTGCTCCCATTGTGTGCCCCAACCGGCGCGATGCTTTCACGTTCTACGGCTGGCGAGAGAAACTAGGCTGGTCAGATGCTGAGATCGACGAGCTGTTTGCGCATGTTGATCATGATGCGTGGAGTGGCCGGCATGAGCGGGATGACGCGGTCAAGAAAGAGTTGCTAGCGGGTGAGCCGCATTGGTACTTGAGCTTGCTTTTGACGTGGCCGGAGTGGCAGGGGAAGGGCGTTGCGAGGAGGTTGCTCAATTGGGGGATTGAGAGGGCTGATATGGAGTGTCCGCCGACGGCTATGTATTTAGAGACGAGTGCAAAGGCGAGGAAGATTTATGAGCATGTTGGGTTTGTGCAGCAGGGCGAGGGGAAGGTGTACATCAGGAGAGGGCCAACGGTTGCGCAGGAGGTAAGTGAGGACGCGTGAGCAGCGCAAGAAGGGATGGACCAAGGCTGAGCAAGGCTGAGCAAGGCTGAACAGAGCAATGTGAAGATTGTGACGATGAAATCAGATACAGAGCGATTTCTTTCAGTTCGAATCGATGGCAAATGGAAGATGGACGGTCACTCGCCCGTGGCATCTTCTTGCATGATGTCTCGAACTTGTCTGAAGGCTTCTCTGCAGGGACCGAAATAGACAGTAAGATTCGATACGAGGAGATGTCGCCTGCGGCGTTCGGACGACAGAAATGATTGGATTTGAGGGACTAGCGTCCAATGTGCTGCACAAGGCTGAGGCGTTACTATGTGGTGTTCGCTCATTGGGCGCTTATGTTGATCCCAGCGCTTCGAACGCTCTCACGCAGCGAGATGGCCCAACTCGTACCAGACGTACGGTATGGTCTGTCAACTATATGATCATCAATGATCTTCCATGCTTCCAGCCAGACAGTTCCTCTGCCCACTGTTCGTTTGAAGTACTTTAGCTTCCGCATACATATCTTCGTTGGCTCCCTTTTTGTCTGCTGGCAAACGCCAACCAACTTCGAGATGTCTTCACAAGCATCGAGTTCTTGTTCGAAGCCGCATGGCTGCAAAGACTGTTCTCGCTCTTTTGCTACCCGTTCTGCTTTGCGTGATCATCATCGGTCCACGAGGCATGGCTTTCATTGTACTAAGCGTGAGTGCAGCAAGCTTTTTGCTTCAAGTGCTGCGCTTGAAGCTCACCTTACTTCCCCAGCTCATGCCAGACCAATCCTTGCGACGACCACAGCGTCTACGATAAGCGTACGCGTGGATACAGCGCCAGCACCTACACAGGACAGCCCATCGCAACTGAGTGGACGGCCATTTCCTTGCACTGTATCAGGACGTTCAAAAATATTCAAGACTCAAGAACCTCGAGCGCCGCATCAGTACATAGCACCGCATAGGAGGACACACACAGTGCCGACAACACAGGCTGTGTTGAGGACCATGGCGCAAACTGGACAACATCCAGCAACTGTTACCTCAGGTGACAGGAATCAGAGTGGCTCCAACATATCATACAATGCACTTGGAATAGAAACCATATTACAGCAACTTGCTGTTGCGGACCCTGTGCTGCACAGTGCGAATAGCGTCGAGTGCCTGGTGGAGCCTGTCAACACACTAAAGCCTGCGCGGTCGTCAGTCTCCAATATCGCTAAAGCTCCTGTGCGCGTTCCCCTATTCCGTTGGGATACTCGATGGTCAAAGATCCCCTCTACCGATTACGGGCTTACCGTGAACGCACTCAGAGCTGTCGTGACAACACCTGAGAGCCGGTACTTGACCGGTGTAGACAAGTCGTTTTGGACCCCAGACCACAAGCAAGCACCTCCCCACGACTGGAATGAACCCAAGCGACAAGTCATTGTCCTCGATTGCGAGATGGTCGGCATTGGTCTCAAGGGTACAACCTCAGAGCTTGCTCGTCTCTCAGCTGTCGACTTCCTCACTGGCGAGCTCTTAATCGATGCACTTGTCGAACCAGTCTTCCAAGTGACTGATATGCGCACAAAATGGAGTGGCATCAAGCCGGAGGCCATGGAAGCCGCAATGGTATCTGGAAGTGCATTGAAAGGCTCGACCGCAGCGCGGACGGATATGTTCAATCACATGGACTCTCAAACAATCCTGGTTGGTCATTCTATCCAGTACGATCTCGCAGCCTTGGGCATCCGCCATGGTGTGACAGTGGATTCTGCTACGCTCGCTGAGGCAGCTGTAGGCAAAGAGGTCAAACGAAGATGGGGCTTGAAGACTTTGTGCAAGGAGCTTCTCGGGATCACTATCCAAGACAACGGGAAAAATGGTCACGACTCCATCGAAGATACTTTGGCGACTAGAGAGGTAGTGCTATGGTGCTTGAATCACCAGAAAGAGTTGAAAGCTTGGGGAGATAAGAAGAGAAAGGAAAATCAGTCGAAGCGAAAAGAGAACAACAAATGGGCACAAAGGAGAAGGAACACAGTTATCCCGCAGAGGTTTTACGGTGGTGATACAGACGACTACGAATTCCACAATCTTAACACGAGGGAACTCAACGATTTGTGCGGATACCCTGACTGGTACGACAATTGGGACTAGGGAATAAATCTGAATTGGTTCTTAGTCGCAATACACTTATGGCTGAGCTACCGGAATATCTACAGACTATCTCTCCGTACCAGCGACGTCGCTATCTATCTTGTGACATGTAGCAAAAAGTGCCTACTTTGGAGTTATCGACCAAGTCAGGTAGTTTTCTGTACTCAGTAGCCATTTCTCAGTGCCAGATTATCAAATACTAAACATATTGTGTTACTACGAGGTGTATTCGGTAGTTAGAATCATTGTGGAATTGTGGTTCGATCTTCTGTCGGAGTCTGGGAGACGAGCTGTGAGCGTATGACATTGATGCCTGCGTTCACGACCCCTCCTATGATCTGAAGAGTGGCGAGAGCCTGACTGAGATTCTGGTGTTTATGTAAAGAGACATGGAACTGGGACGGTAATGGGAAAAATCGAAAAGTTGTCGCGCGTTATCATCATCTTGTTCTTCGATGCCAAGCAGCAAAGTGACAGCATCTGTTAGTAAAGTCAATGGCCTCCACTCTTCCCTTTATACTTTTCTTTGCAAGCTACGAAAGTGGTAACCATTATGTCGATTGATCCCCAGGTCTGCTGTTATAGCATAGTCCACGCAACGCTTCCGCTCCTTTACTAATGGGATGAAAAGTATCCTCTTCACTCTCGATGAACCTCCTTCAGTATATTAGCTTGAATTTTCCGGCATCCTTCCTCCCAAGCGACCCACGCTTCTGTTTGCTTGATCTTATTATGGCGCTCCGTCAAAAATCGCTGCATCTTGATTGCGACCAGCATGCCAAACAGCAGCGATCCGGTTTGTGTACTCCACATAAGCCACTTTGAGGTGGGTCGCTCCAATAGCCTGAGATCACTGAGTGTATTGTTGAAGCACTGCACAAGATCTGGAGAGTAGTCGGAGAAGCCACTGGGCTTCGTCAACTGATTGAAAAAGCGTCTTTCAATCAATTTCTCGATGAACTCGCACTCTTCCTCATACCAATCTTTGCTAGAAGCGATCAGAGTGTATGTTTTTGGACTAACTGCGCTAGTCTGATCCTTTTCGATCGGTAGATCGGTGCGCCATGCGAGTGTAAGCGCGTTGATGCCGTCCCATTCATAGAGCGGTGTGTTGCACGTATGGCATGTGCCTTTTTGTGAGTCTCCACCGCGGATAGCAAGCTCGATGAGACATCGATAGTGAATCCAGTGACTACACGGTGACAAGGGTAGGAACGTTGAAGGGATGGCGACTCGATCCCACTGTGTGTTGCAGCTGATGCATTTCTGCGCAGGATAAGGTGGATAATTGTGAAGGCTCTCGTCGCGCATAAGGATATGGTCGACGTATCGGAGTAGAGAAGGCAGAGTTGTTGGTGGTTTCTCGATCTCAGCTTTGGCTTGTGGCACATTGGCTCCTGCTGCGCCGTCACCTCGATAAGAAGCTGTGGCCGCCGGCGCAGCTTCGTCAGATAGACATCGTACTAGCGGACCGAAGCTACTTCTGAGCGATCGTGCTTGCGGCTCGCGTGTGAGGTAGGTAAGGGCCGTATCTGCGAGCGCGCGCATCGATACGCTCAAGGTCGAGTCCGGAGGGTAGCTGACTTCTCTCATAGTTATTTTGGCGTATGAATGTGCGTTGAAGTGTCTTGGCATCAGAAAGCGTCTTGAAATGATGATTCTCGCTAAAGCGGCAGGTGGTAAGTGAAAGACAAGGTGAGGCAGGAGCTTTCGTGGAAGTACAAACTGGCGATCACGGCCCACACGCACTCTATCGCGCAGGAAACCATATTACCTGACCGGAAAATGTTTCAACCAGTATGTCAAAAGAATATAGCAAGTTCGCAGGCGTTCACTTTCTGTAGAACGTCTTGGAGCTGCTAAGTGCCGCAGATGATGTGAACAGCGACCGTCCAGCCTGGATAGCTCTTGACCTGTGATTCAGGTCTCGATCTCCAGCAGAACTAGCATCGCTGACTTTGCGTGTTAGTAATGGACGATCAGATAAATTGCTACATCGCCGCGAACCGTTGAAGACGAGCCCAGGTCGTGTTCCCATTCGAACTCAGAAAATCAAGCCTCAATCCGCACTACTGTCCTGCATCCGTCCTGGGGACCGTTCAGCTGTCAAAAAGGCTCTTCCGTATCGTTGTCCACGGTGCTGCAAGTGTAGAGCTACAGATCAAAGAGGGCTCATCCACCATATCTGACCTAATGGTAGGCGCCGATGGTATTCGCTCAGCATGTAGCTTCAAAAGCTCTGAGATGTTTCATTAATGCTAATGTATGGCGCTTATGATACAGCTTGGCCAAGCTGCAAGGTCAGGTTTACTGTCACCGCGATCTGGGGCCCCTCGCCAGCTTGGGATGACACGAAAGATGCGAATCCTAAGTGGCACACGCTAGTTGGGTGGCACACGCCCACGACCCATGTGTAATTCTCGTCGGTCGGTGAAGGGTTGTGGGAGATTGCCGCGAGAGAGTGGCATGACCCAGCGATTCACAGCGCCAGCAAGGTCAGCTTGGGTATTCGGGTCAGCAACGCGCACGTTGCCTCACGCTTCACAGCAGGTGCTAACTGATTGCGAAAGTGCAAACGCTGAAGATGGGAAAGGAGTACCTTTCCCAGGTTCAAGAAGCGCTAGCACGTGTACCTGACGGTGGCTGGCACAAGCTCGCCGCGTTCACAGGTCCAAAACTCCAGAACCTAGCTGCTTGGAACAAAAACTTGGTCCTCTCTGACGACTTGTCGTACGCGTTTTCTGGTAGTCTTGGTTCTGGAGCTGATTCCACTATGGAAGATGGGTAGATTCTCGCGCATCGTTGGCGCACTTCAACAGCGGTTCAAATACGGTTTTACAGCTGTACAATCAGATCAGCCTACGTGACACACACTTCGCGTCCGAATTGGCGTGACACGCGAAGAATCTGCAGATGTTGGCAATCTCTCATCTGAAGACCAAGTCGCCAATGGAGTCATCGCTGATGGGGGCACGGATATTTCCGGCATCTTCCAAAATGATATTGAAGTAACCTGGAGATATATGATAGGAGAGCTTGAAGCTCAACTATGAATAGCCTAGCCAGTGGACTATTCTGCGTGACAAGCTGCGTGCTTGATGGAAGGCGAGATTCCTGTTGTGGGTTCTTTGAATTTGGGCAGGCTTCGTTTGGATCAGGGTTCATGCCTGCGTTCGCTTCCCATGGTATGCCCTGGCTTAATCATGTGCTCTATTGCCTCGTCGATATAAATCTTCACGCTCGAATGCACCGAGCCTGTGAATAGACATCCAACGTCAAATACTGTGTTCTACCCCTTGTCTATTGCATCCGCTTTTACACCGTCCTTCGTTCTTACGTTGCAAGAATCCGATGCAGGGCGCAATCTTCACTACACCTTTGCGTTTGTCCCTACTTCCGTCGAGCGACCGATCGTGCAGCATCTGTCTCGAGCCGTACATCGAATACCCAACACATGGTTCCGCTCGTGGAGGCAAAGAGGGAGAGTGGGCTGTGCGCATCGAGATGGTGGCAGAAGTCTCTGGTCTGAGGCGATGCTGTGGTCACGTCATTGGGAAGCAATGCCTGCGAGCACATCTTCGATCCTCAGGGCCGTGGAAGAAACAGTGTCCTCTTTGTCGCGATGTGTGGTTTCGCGACTCTAGTCGCAGGAGTCGATCGAATCGGCGGTCCCATTCTTTGCGGACGTCCTCGAACAACGGAATGATGACGCGCTCCATGACTCTTGCAGCAGGCCGCACAAGTCGTAACAGGTCGAGGAGTCCACCGCGTGATGAGCAGCAAACATCGCAATCAAGTATTACGCAAGACGGATCCAATTTCACGCAGCGAGTGCGAGAGAAGTTACAGGTCAAGGATGGGAGCGAGGAGGTTATATGGACACTCGAGGAGGTTGAGCAGACTTTAAGGGAGTTCTACGGCCAGCGGGCGGATCTAAGTGGGTAATGACAACTTGACGCGGGTCTTGGAACTCAACTTTAGACGCTCTGGAAATTCTTGCCCCTTATTGTGCTTTGCTCTTCATCTTCTTCGCTGGTCGTTCCTCGTCCTCGTTGGCTACCGCAGCACTTCTGGCCCTCAGCATGGTAAGAGCCTCTTCCAGCAAAACCTTCTCTCCCAACCGCACCTCAACTGCCATGCGGTGCCTGTTTGTAATACCAGACTTCTTCAAAATGGCTCGATCTTCCCTTATCGATGTAGGGTATTGTGCGAGTTTGTCAGCCACCACTTCGGTAATGACAGCATTGACAGCCCCATCGCGCTTCCTATTATCTGCAATCATTTCTGGCTTGTGCTTTTTTATGGCCTTTAGCGCGAGTTTGAGCTCTTCCTCAAGCTCAGGGAACTCGTCCATCTTCGCTTCCTCGATAAGACGGCCCTCTTCGTTAGGCGCGCCCGAGTCGCGCTCGATGATATACGGATCGCCTTCTTTATCTGCGTCTATCTCAATGCCCTGCGACCACTCAGTAAAAGACTCATGTTAGAAAGTCTGACTCGCTTACCATCTCGAGTAGCTCAGAAGGCGAGAGGCCAGTTGCTCTACCCAGGGCCTGTGCAACAGCGCTACGAGGGATTTCAACTTCATCGTACCTGTGGTACTCGGTTGTGATGTATCCATAGCGTCGCAGAACTTCAGATGAAGGCATAGCGCCGTAATAGTTCAGAATCTCGGTGCCAGCTTTGATATCAGAACGAAGACTCGTGACTTCGAGGCTTTCACCGTGGTTGACGTGAGCCTGGAAGTTGAATCAATACAATAACGTCGCTTTTGTGTATCAAACGTACATTGAAGTCGGCGTTAGCATTCAAAATGTCAGCCATAGGTACCATACCTAGCATCTTCTGTGCATCCCTATCGACGACCCAACCATCTTCATCCGCTTCATCTTCTTCCTCGTCATTTTCCAAGTCGAAAGCATAAGCCATGATTGTGCTGCCCATCCGGTGCGCCAGATTGAGCAGATCGTCCTCTGTAAGCTGATTCTTGCCGACAGGATAGAAGATGTCCGGATTATGTTTCACGACAGGAACGATGCGAGTACGAAGCTTATCATCGCTGGCTTGTCTTCCGATCTTATCTTTCGTTAGCACGGTGACTTCGAGTTCCTTAAGCTCTGATTCAGTCCAAAACATAGGCGTGTCGAAAGTTGTCGGCAGGACATCCAAGTAGGGTTTCCATCGCGAAGCATCACCTTGCAGGTATTCATAGACCATAATGAGTATGAGCGACTCCCAAGGATCGAGGGGTTCGGTGTCTTCATCTTCCTCGTCAAACGCGGCTTCAAACACCTTTGGTAGCTTCTTAGGAAGTTCGGACGTTTCGATGTTGATGATGGCGGATCTTGGTATTGTGAGAAGTGTGCAATCTTCAGGAATGTCTTTTTTTGCAACTTCCACGAGTGAGTGTGGCATAGATACAGTCGATTGTGCAGACATACCGATGCCTCGACCTGCGCCTTGAGCCCTCAGATCTTGAACCTCAATGAGGTCGTCCTTGAATTCGCCGCCGACCAACTTGAACCAGCTGAGAAAGCGATTTGTCGATTGTTGAAAGTCTGCCATTATCGCGGAATCGTCTGGCCACTTTTAATGCCTGCAACCAGACTTTTACACGATGAGTGGCTGCAGGTAAAAATTGTGTTTCCACGCAGTAGAGAAGCACGCGAAGGCGGCGCACGGGATTAGTGACGAGTCGTAAAGGCTCTCCAGAACTCTAATGCAGGGTTTCGAATGGCGCTGAGTTGTGTCATCACGACACATCGCGCTACGAGGAAGGAGTTTGTGCGCTAGAGCCAAAGATAGACTAGTGAGAGTTGTCGTAGTCTGTCCAAACTCCTTGAGACATTCGATCATAATCTTGGGTTCTAACCCCTCGCATAAGAATCAATGCCATAAAGTCTCGATTCTAATTATGTCACAAACCCGCCTCATTCGTTGAGGTATTGTACACTTCGCGGGACCTACGTCATCGCCAACGGGCTCCACACGCGCTCAAATCCAGCGCGAGTCGTACAGCGAGTCTCTAATCCTCCCCAAAGCCAGTTCCACCTGCTCGAGCTCCTGTATCGCATGCTCGTCGACTAGTTCTATTGATGCCAGAGCCGTTAATGTCCGTTCGACGTTCAAGAGCATATCTTGCCTTCCAGCGTTTGGCGCGGGAAACCATTCCGTTCGGCACAACGGGCAGACATGACTCCATGGGTTACCGCTGCGGATGTGGTGCTCCAAGCAGTGACGGCCAAAAATGTGGGTGCACTCGCCCCGATTGTCAATCTGCACAGCGTACTCCTCCTCATCCCCAGGCAGATCCGGGTGCACGTAGTCCTGTGGTGGCCCAGCGAAGGAATTATGGCAGATGGGGCATTGAGTCTCTGGATCAGTTATCGAGGAAAGTTCCACAAGCTCCAGGGGCTTAGTATTGTTGGCGAGAAAGTTCGCAATCTGAAATTCAGGAATGAGATTTGGCATATTGCGCTACTTGCACTGTTTAGCAGTACGTTGGAAATGTTGTGGTTTCAAGCGTCGTTGTGGGGTGATCGATTCCAGTCAGGCAGTCACTATACTCTTGAATTCTTCATCGGGCTCAGTTTGAAGAGCGTCTGTCGGTGAAGGTGCAGCGAGAGGGTAAAGAGTGGTGCTCGCTTGCTTTCGACAGCTGTAAGAGACTTTACTGACAGCGCATAATCTGTCGTCACATCTGCAGCTAATCACCATCATGACCAGATACAAGCTCCCGTCAGCTTCGTCTTGTCTACGGCTAGACCGCTCACCGTTACGTTCGGCCTACACCATGGTACATCAGCAAAAGCTACCTAATACTTTGTACGATGCGGGATCTATGCCGCTTCCACCTTCCTTCGCCAATGATTTAGAACACTACAGAATGCTTGAACTGACCAACAAGAAGCACGACAAGGTATGCCCGCTCTGCCCCAACACTATGTGCGACTACAAAGTTTTCGCACATCGATGCAAGACATACGACACTTGCTCAGACTTGGCTCACTGAGAGCCAACTGTGCGCATCCGCTTCTCTGGTCATTATCTTGGCGCGAGATGTCTGGTGCATCATATCCGAGCTGGCAAGAATGACTGTCCAACGTGTGCTCATCTATGGTTCAAGCCGTCTGTGAAATTCATATGAGAGCGTTCGTTGGAGAAGAGTGATCTCTGGGAATGGTGATGGAGTCGGGACCTGGGTCATGGCTTAGACCATTTTCTAAAGGACTTAGGTTGCTACTACGTCTAATAGGCGAGGCATCACTGCCTAGATGCTGTTTCCGAAGTCGCTCGAAATGACAAAGGGAAAGCCATTTTACACCTGGCCAGCAAGGAGTCTAAATGGCTCTCTCGCACTATAGCTCCGATTCATCTCGATCCCACCGTCCTTGCCCATCTTAACCATCTTGACCACCCTCCTCGCGAATCGCGATCATAATCGCACTGAAATCGTGGCTCATTCGCGATAGCCCCATATGGATACCTTTTGGGTGCGCATACGAGAGGTGCGTGTCGTCGTGTTCTAAGAGCAACGGTCAATCAAGATGCGCACGACATATGGTTACATATCATTTTCAGCCCTTTGATAGCTATCAACATTTCTCTTGTGGGGAACTACTCATGAGGATTGCGTACCTCTGTGGGGCAATGCCATGTATTGAAGGTTGTTGAGCGTTACGACGCGCTGCAAAATGCGTAAAATTATGCCAGATGTACCAGAAGAAAGGACACCGAAACAGATGAAGGAGTGAGATTAGAATTTGGATCAGCTACCCAACTTCTGTCTGCGCTCATGTCATCCATCAGAGCTTCATAACATCTCCGTGAAAACCTCCCACCAATGTCTGTCAACCCCTGATATCCTCAAGTCTTCGACCTTGAGCATGAGTCTACCTCTAGAGGACGACAGTACCGTTTTGGCCGGTGATCAAGTCAGCCTCACCAGGAATGAGGGTGCCGTTCTCGATGGCGGCAGCATGGCCCCTGGCAAGCATGCCGTAAACAGGCAAGTATTTGTCAAGGTACGGCAGGACCTCACCAGCACCTGGAGTCGCACGCCAATCGCGCATAAGGTCACACACAATAGCGAACAGGCTGACGAGCTGGACGCCAGCACGCTCCATGCGGGAATTCGCAGTGTCGCGGATGAGCTGAGTGGTAGTACCGGAACCTTCGATATTGGCAAAGACGGAGTAGCCTTCAGCGCGTAAGGAAAGAGCGAGGAAAGCGGTGCACACGTCGGTAACGATTCCGGCGACGATGATTTGCTTCTTGCCGGATGCCTCAACTGCAGCGCGGAACTCCGCGTTGTCCCACGCACTGGATCACGGTCAGTTACGAACATGAAGAGCTGATGGCTGCTCTACTTGACCTCACCCTGACGGCGGATAAGAGGCGCGTTGGGGTACATCTCGATCATTTCCTTTGGCAGCGGACCGTTCGGACCAGTATCGGCAGAAGTTGTCAAGATGACAGGCAAGTCGAACAGTTTGCCAAGCTCGGCATGAGCCATAATGTTCTCCTTATAGAGGGTATGATCCCAGTCACGAGCGAGCTGGTAGAGGCCAACTTGGAGATCGAGGATGAGCAACAGCTATCATCACATGTTAGCTAGAGTGGTGGTGATATGTCGATGATATCCAAGACGAACCGCGTTGTTTTTGTCGATACGCTCCCATGGCACAGCTGGCACTTGTCAAACTTTTTCATATGGCCAATTGAATGGTGTGTAGCATACCATCACCACTGACGGCACTGAAGAGGCTGGTAGCCAAGAATGCGATGCTTGTTCCGAACTTCATCTTGAAACCTGATCTGCGAATAGACTCGGCTGTCAAAGCTTGTCTGTCGGAGTGGTGTGAGGATGGCGTGATGAGTGTATGGCAGCGGCACAAGGCTCTCTTTATACTTCCTAGTGGTTTCCCGCCTTCGGTCGACCTCCTTCCTCCCAGAGTCCGGCCAAGCTACAAAATTACCCTCGTGTCGGCCATAATGAGCCTATCTACTCGCTTGCGGCGTGCCCATGCGATGCTGCGTGCCCGTGCGATGCTGCTATCGTTTGTTGAGTGGAGGTGCATGAAGGTCGCATCGCGGGTCTCATCGGTAGCGAGAATAGGTTCTGAGTTTGATTTCGAAGAACTGACTAACCTGGCAAAGAATGTAGGTTCAAAGACTGGATATCCAATTGGCAGACTACAGCGGGAAAACGTCAGGGACTGGTCAATTAGGCTACCCGTTGCGCTCGTGGCTCGCTCTTCCGTTCCGCAACGGCTGTGCTGTAAGTCACCACGCGAGCCATGCCAGCCTGACGTCGAGTGTTTTGCACCAAATGCGGTATTTGATAAGCCATTACTGTTCAAGCAACTGACATGTGCCCCGCAACGCCTCTTTTCGCTTGGAGCTGTTCTGTATGCAAGCCTAGTGGGAACCCCCCGCTCGTTGTATGCATGTAAGCAGATACAAATGAATTCATCAGCATTTGAAACCACGCCTGGAGGCAATTCCAGCAGGCTTGCATGTTGGCGAGTGCGCATGAAGGGCCTCGAAAACGGAGCATGGCCCGCAGGCACGTTAATCAGAGATGAACAAGCCCCTCAAAGCGGGACGCGCCGTGTGCTCACCTTGCCACAGTCGCATTGTGGCATGCCTTACCGTCTCTGATCAATGATAATTGTGTAATCACCAAGATAAGGGGTGAGGCTGGAGTCGCGCAGTGAGGATGATGAAGTTGCTGGAAGGCCGGAGGTGGGGCGGATCCACAGCCTTGCCTCGCCCTGGATGACCGAGGATCAGCCACCACATCACGGATCTACGTCGCGCGAATCTTGTGTCGGGGTGATTACAAAATGGTTGTGACTCACGTCCCTATTTGCACGAAGTTCGCCGTTTTCGTTGTCATTAGATGATTACATTACTCGTATGTTAACCGAATAGTTATAGGGTATGTGGGTATGGATGTACGCTCCTTCGCTTAAGCCTCAATAGTACGACAAGTCTAAAGCAGTTCCAGCTCCGCGGTAGCAGCACGTTGGTTGTGTGAATTCTAGGATAGTATCATCTTGCTGGAGATTGCATTTACACCATTTCAGCTGGTTGCAATTATTAAATGCGATGACACGCACGGGTCACTAAACGCGGGCCACTTTCCACAGCCTGGAGGAAGGCAGCATTGGCACCGCGGAGATAGCGTTGCGCAGCCGCTTAGGCCTTGAGTCCATTACGGCCAAGGAAATCCTGGATAACCTGGTAGCCAGCGGTCGCATTGTAATGGAAGTTCAGACCGTGCCCAGTGTTAGGCTGGATGTAGGCCTCGAAGGTGGACGCGGCAGGGAAGGTGGCTATAACACCAGCCGGAATGTTCGCGGCAGTCATATTCGGGACCATGCCGTAGCAGTTACCGCCGCAGAAAGGTACGTCGTGCTCGCCGGTGATGACAAAAGCGGGTCCAGTAAAGGGAGACATCATGGGTGCGTTGCCGATAGTGAAGAGCTCCCCAGCAGTGACGGGCTGCTTGGTCTTCTCGCCCTCAACAGCGAAGCCAGTGTCATACTGGTCGGGGAAGAGGAAGGCATACTGCAAGGCAGTGAGAGCGGAGTGAGCGAAGTAGCCAGAGGGGTAGTCGTACTGGAAGACGGTATGATTGTAGCCATTGATTAGGTCGTTAACCTCAGTAGAAGCGACGTATTGCCATACATCATCTGTGCTAACATCGACGCTGATTTGGTTTAACAGAGCTGTGAGTCCGGGTACGACGTCGCCTGACACACCGTACTTCTGGGCGAGCGCCTGGACGCCCGCGGAGGAAGCATTGCCAAAGCGGAAGGGCTGGTTGAGACGTGCGCTGTGGAGATTCCAACCAGCGACAATGTATGGGAGGAACTGGCCAGCAGTGGAGTAACCAGTCAGAACGACACCATCGGTGTTGTTGGGGTACAGAGCAGACAGCCAGTAGGACTGCACAGAGCCAAAGGAGTGACCCACGTGAACGACCTTCTCATACGAGCAAGTAATCTCGGGAATGGATCCAGCGCGGATCTTCTTAGTGACTTCGTTGAGCGCCTCCACCTCGGCCTGAGCCTGAATCTCGTTGAAGGGATCGCCGTGGGTGGAGTTGCCGATACCGTAACGGTCGATGGCGAGAGTGCTGTAGCCAGCAGCGGTGGCTGTGTTTACGTACGAGTAATTGTAGTTATCGTAGGACAGGTCCCAATAGCTGGAAAGGATTAGTAAGGGCAAGCATCGTGCGTGGTAAGAAAGCTCACCTCTTGTCAAAGCCGATGCCGTGAGTCAGGATCTGGACAATGCTATTGCTCCCGCCATCCGGTTTGCAGTACTGCGCAGAGATATTGATGCTCTTCTGCAGAGTCTGGAAGCCGGTGAGGAGCTCAGCAGTGTAGTTGTACTGGTACTGATTGAAGCGGGTCGCGAAGGCACCAACCTCAAGGTTGGTCTCGACGGGAACCTCCTTGAACACACCCTGTCGGGAGACGATGTCTACGGGGATACTGAGAATCTGACATTGCTTGGCAGCGGCATAGCCAGCAAATAGAGATGCAGCGAACGCCTTCATTGTGGGTGCTATTGTGTGTACCGGTATGGTTGAAGTGGATCAAAAAGCAACCGTGGGCAATTGAAACCTTTATCAACAAGTGAGAGAAGGGTGCTGTCGTCAGCGGCGTGTCATTGTATATGTAGTAGTCAGGTACGCAAAGCGAATGTAGATACTAGATCACCTCAGCCCGGGCCCGAAAACAATTAGTACGCACGGTCAAGGCGCGTTCGCCATAAGTCCGCTGATTTTGAGGCTGGCGAGAGCGCCATTTGCAATCCGAATTCAACTGGAATTGTTGCGGCTCGGCGCGTAGCATTTTCCACCCGGAGCAATGCAGCAGCTCTGTCGTCCGAACGGATGCTGTGCAACCAATTGAGCATGTGCCGAGCAGTGCCGGAGGGATGTCTTGCTGGTCCCAAGCTGAGGATCTGCATCTCAAATCGGTGCCAGATCGAGTTCATACGGCTCACCGGAGGTGTTTTGTCAGAATGCCCGTGCTTCCACTCATGACGATGCTGAACCTAGGTGCCGGGGAAGCTGGAGAAATGGCATCATAGCTAGCCCGGGTAGGTCTAGGAGCTGTAGTGATGCAACTAGTTCCAGTGTTTGTGTACTCAGCGTATGTTAGCAGCACCCCGGCACAAATAGTTACTAGACTACTACTAGGAGCATCGCGATGTGCTGTTTTGGCGTACAGCACAACAAGGCGCCCACCTGGAGCTGGAGATGATGGAAAGCGTCTGGTCAAGGCTTGGTCGTGTAGGCACATTGTCACCGCAGTGGGAGAATCGACGCTGCGTCATACCCGTCCTGCTAATGATTGGCGCCTCTATCTGCCTTGCAGATGCAATTATCGTGATGTCGCCTTCAAAGAGCACTGAGAGTGGAGTGCCGTTGCTTTGCTGCAGGGCGCACAGCTTGCTGCATGGCGGGATGGAGTTCCCTGCCGGAGACAACGCTGCGCTGTTACTGGGTACGGCAGCTGCCAGCGGCCCCGGGGCTTTGACGGTTGTGAAAACACAACAAAGAATGCACCCTTCCCAAATCAAGGGGTCTTTTCGATAAATCTTTGTTCACGACGGTCTAAACTGTGGGTTTGACGATAGCTGCCCACCGGCCATTTGGAATCGTCGAGGCTCTCGGGGGTTCCAGCTTCCGCGCACGTCATCGATGGCCAATGACCTTCTTGACCTATCAAAGCCGGAGCAACGGTCGATTGTGCAGACTGGGCCGCAAATGTGACAAAGAAGATGCAGCGCCGATGGGATTATTGATAAAAGTTTAACAGAATGATGGAGGCACGATCTCTCGGGAGGCTTTGAACGCCGACCCACACCAGCAGCTTGCATTTAGCTGACTGGCTGGATAGACACCCCTCCATCCGCAACCTCTCTGCGACTGAGGCTCAATTTGTTGGCTTCGTGTTGGCTTGCTGTCCGTCTCGTGCTTCCAAAGCAAGTTGCTGCTGCTGCTCTACACCTGCAGTCGTTACCCTGGGTCTGCGAGATGCCGTTGTCGCTGATACGCCAATGGCAACAGCAATTCACACCGCTTGCATTCGTCAGACAAAATATGTAAGTGTTGGCACATGCTTGCGCTTTCATCAAAGTTTCCGGATCATGTAACTCTCCCTTCAGCCGGCCAGGATGAGCGTCTTTGTTGTCTTACATGTGCCACAGGGGTGGTACAGACACGCGTACGAGCTCGCCTCGCATGTACACGCGTGGTTGACTCTTATTTGTACCACCGGAGAGAGAACACTGCAGTATTGTTCCCATCACGACCGATGCATACCGATAGCCCATAGATGTTTCGGCAACATAGGTCAATTCGTGGTCACGAGCTAGATCAACGTAGATCACCAATAGTCGGTGTTTCCACCACCTTTTACCTAGGCAAGACTGTCGGGAAGATGAGGCTTAGGCGTTCAAAGTCATTGACTATGCTCAACTACTCTTCTTCTTTAGCATATAGTCACCACCTCTCACCGCCTTGTAAATTCCGTAGAATCCACTCAGCAAAGCACTGCTTCTAATCAGCCTCTTCAACAAGCCCTTTACATCCGTCCCGTAATCTTCCTTCTTATTGCCCCGATCACGGACCTTCTCCCAGATGGATGGTAGCCCAGTCGCCCCAAACTTCCTTCTCAGCTCGTCGTACTTATTTTTATCGTACAGCTGCCACCACTCGTCTTCCGTGTAGAATACCCTCGAATACAACCACTTCAGACCGCCAAGGTCGCCGGTCTTCTTCTCAAGCTCACGATTTGCCCGGACATACTCGAGCTCGAACGAAGGATACGGACCCCAGACACCGACATTGATGTACAAGCTCTCGTACGCGTGGCCGCTCTGCTTCTGTCCGCCTACGTGCCCCTCGAATTGCTTTGGATGACCCATCGAAACACGGCCATCTTTGCGCAATGGGCACAACCACAACGGGTAGATGCCGAACTTATCGTCGACGTAATCTACAAACGCCTCTGCATTCCCTGCTGGAAATGCAATATCTTGTATGACGTACCGATCCGTGTAGCCTGATGCGTGCAGCGCATGGTACATGATCCGTGTGTGCATGAAGTAGTCCAGCAGTACGCGAAAGACATACCAGAACGGTACAAAAAAATGGTAGTATGCGTACATACCCATCCAGAAAGCACCGCGATCATACCGGAAGAGGTAGTCTTCGACGGGCACCAGCTCGACAGTCGGTGTCTTGGGAGCTCTCAGGGGTGAAGAAACGAGCGAGCGAGCGTGGATCCAGAACCACTCATCCCAAGGCCGCGAGAAACGACGTACTGGTATCTTTGGAGATGACGGCTCTGAGAGCAAGCGACCGGATACCACGACACCCGAATCTTTTGCGAACAGCACGCCATCAACATAGTCGTTTTCTTCCTTTTCTGTCTCCGCCTGTAACACTTCCACTGCCTCTTTACTCGACGTGGTGCGACGGTAAGTGACCTCAACCCAGCTCTTCAGCGGTACAAGCATGACCTCAACCAGCGTCAACACACCCAACGTGCCGAAACTTCCTCTAAGCCCTTCGAAAAGCTCAGCATTCTCAGTCGCCGAGCAGTTCACGAGCGTGCCATTCGCAAGAATAACCTCGGCTCTCACGACCGTGCGATCGAAGAACCCGTACTTGAAACTACTGCTTTCGCCCGCCGTCCCCACAAACCCGCCTCCCACAGTGATTCCAGGAAATTCCATAACCACAGGCGGCAAGAAGCCTTGCACTGCGGTTCTAGCGACCAGTTTATCCATGGGCACGTTCGGTTCAACGAGCGCAGTAGAAGCAGAAGTGTCGATACTCAGGATTCTGTTCAAACCGGAGACGTCGATGATGGCGGAGGGGTCGAAGGAGGCATGGCGCGTGCTGTTTGTGCTGCCGTGGTAAATGCGGAACGGTGTTGAGGTGCTGTGGAATTGGGATATGCGCTTTTGGATGCCTGCGACGATCCGCTCGTGGGATGCTCGTGTTGGCCCCGTTGTAATGTCCATTTTGCTTTTGGTTGTGTTCCCAGCTCTTTTGCGTTGAACTTCCAGTTGTGGCTTCTGTGTGGCTTCTGTGTGGTTGGTGTTGATGGCTTGTTGCGCTAGTGGGCGGTGCCTGCTTGACAAGTTGAGGTGAACGCAGGGTGCTCTTGTGTGCGCGATTGGAATTCCCGCTTGATTCTTTCCCTTGTTATCTGCGACAGAGTGTCTACCGGTACCCCCTCTTCGTCCACGGTGCTTTGCGACACAATTTGAGGCTAGGTCGTCTATTCGGCATACGTCACCGAACTGAGTGGGGTTTTCCTCCGGATCTTCCGGTTAGGCGAACAGCTCTTTCGTAGCAAACAGAACGCGTCGAACGCGTCTGAGAAGTACGAAGGCTGTCCAAGTTAATCCTGCAATGATGGGATAAAGGCATGATGGCGTGTGCAGGCGGATCTTGGATTTATATGTGTCGACTCCACTTTCATGAAGCAGAACCCTACGAAGCGCATTGACACAGCGCCCGCATGCGCAGTCAAACGGAAGGAGTGGCTCAATAGCTTGGGCTGTGGAGCAGGCTCAGCCCTGCGCGCTTATTCAAGACATCGACGACTCCAATTCTCCACATGCAATCCCCATCCCATTCCTAGCTTCCGCACCCCTTGCTTTCCCTCGGACTCACGTTGACCTCCCACAGCACATTGAGAGATGGAGGGCCACAATGCGACGGTTGCCACGCTCGCGTTACAGGTAAAGCAGTTCAGTGCTTCGAGAACACCCTTCAGGATATATCATGGCTCTACTTTGTCAACACGGCACTCACCGCGCCAGCGGAACCAGATCATCGATGTCAGCTCGCTCAATCACGTTCTCAAGTTCAACAAGATGGACAAGACAGTTCTTGTCGAACCGAATGTTCCCATGGATCAGCTTGTAGATGCTACACTTGCTCAAGGATTTCTTCCAAAGGTCGTCATGGAGCTACCGAATATCACAGCAGGCGGTGGGTAAGTCAACTCGACCTCACTTGCCCGAATTGCCACATCAAAAGTCATCTATGCCATGGATTATCACATACGAAAGTGGCTGACGGGAGGCTTGACATACAGCTTCGCAGGTACAAGCGGAGAGAGCAGCTCATTCAAATACGGACTTTTCGACCGCACAATTAGAGGAGTTGAGATCATTCTAGGAAACGGCGACGTCGTCTGGGCATCCGCAGAAGAGCATCGAGATCTTTTTTTCACCGCAGCCGGGAGCTGTGGAAGCCTCGGAGTCATCACTCTGCTCGAGATGGAGCTCGTTGACGCAAAGAGCCATGTCGAGCTGGAGTATATCCCAGTTGGCAGCACAGAAGATGCTGTCGAACAGCTGAAGCACTACCAACAGCAAACAAACGTCGCGTACATCGATGGAATCCTCTACTCACCAACAAGCGGCGTGATCATGATCGGCCGCCTTACAGATCAAGCCAATTCGGCCAGGATTCAACGCTTCGATCGCGCATCGGATCCGTGGTTCTACATGCACGCAGAGACTATCGTAAACTCTCTCGCCGAGACCAGTCGAGCATTCTCAAGGCCGACTACCTACAAAGAATACGTTCCCGTCAAGACGTACCTCTTCCGCTACGACCGTGGCGTCTTCTGGTCCGGCCTACGCGCCTTTAAATACTTCATCACGCCCTTTAACGCCCTGACAAGATATCTCCTCGATCCGTTCATGTACAGTCGCACAATGGTACACGCACTTCACCGGTCCGGCATCGCCGCTCAAACCATCATCCAAGACTTCGCTGTGCCCTACGCCTCAGCCTCGGAGTTTATCGAATGGACCGACAAGCGCACAGGTATCTGGCCGCTCTGGCTCTGCCCCGTCAGATCCGCACCGCTGTCCGAACGCTCCTTCTCACAGGGCAACAACATCAAAGACGACATGCTCCTCGACGTGGGAATCTGGGATATGGGTCCCAAGGACAGCCATGCATTCATCAAGCTCAATCGCGACTTTGAGCAGAAAGTCACGCAGCTGGGCGGTATGAAGTGTCTGTATGCACATGCGTACTACACTGAGTATGAGTTCTGGGGTATCTATGATAAAGAAAAGTATATGGGGCTAAGGAAGAAATATCATGCTGAAAGTTTGCCGTCGGTGTACGACAAGGTCAAGGTGGATTTGCAGGGTGTTGCTGGTGGGCCGGTGCAGGAGACGAATGTGGGTTGGGGGGAGTGGGTATACAAAGCATTCTGGGATACCTGGCCGTTGGGGGGACTGTATGGGGTTGCGAGTGCGACGAAAGGGTTTTTGGTCAAGAGTGACTTCTTGCTGAAGAAGTAGGTCTTGCTCACTATCCTTGCACGTTTATGCGCATGGCCGGTACTAGGAATCCCAATTTAGACTTCACCTTCCCGTTTCTCAATAGCTGCAGACACGGCATTGACACACAATGAAAGTCTTCAGCCTTAAGACTGCCGATGCTAAGAGCGGCGCATTGAGATGCTAGGGCGCACGAATAGGTATTGAAGAAAAAAAAATGCCCTGTTCAGGCCGCATGTGACAGATGCACAATGCCACATGACTCGAGTGACATCTATCACGACTGTCCAACAGAATACTTTGCGTGTGAAGATGTGCATGGGGTCAGATTTTGGCGTAAACTTTGATTCCTTGAAGCTGGCTATTATGACGTATGAACGCTGTAGTGGCATAATTGCCTACGCAGGCTGCGGGACGGGAAACGTTTCTTCGCGAACTCTTCACGAAGAACCAAATCCGTGCCGTTTATGAAATGAGAGATCGCCGCAGTAACAAATTCATCTCCGCGGTCGCAGATTGCCCCTTGCAGTGTTCCTGGATTGGGAGGGCTCACCTATGATTGGCTGAAGCTCCAGTTGAAGCTCCACCTTGGCCTGTCAAAAAAGGTCCCCAAATATTTCTCGCTGGTGTCTGCAGCTCCAGCTTCATGATGACGTGCACGTCAACAAGGACATATGTCGAGCTGCAAGAGTGCGGCAGAGCTGCAGAAGCCTTTCTCTGGGTTTGCAGCGTCATCATCGCGGGATCTCGCATAGCAAACGCGAAAACGCGAGGGAAAGACGCGTCTCGACCCCTGCGCGAGACAGCAAACATGCCGGTTCTAAGTGGTTGACGTAGCCAGTAGCGAAAAGCTGTCGACGCCCAGCCACTCCAATTCACCAGCAGTCCACCCGCGCCCTGTACCTAATGACCACGCAGTGATTTCAGCAGGCTGCCCCTCTCTGCGCCTTCCCCCAATTCCCATACAAAACCCTCTCAGCCAGCTCCCTGCAATCGTTCCTGCCGCACCCGGATCCCCACCCACCAAGCAGCCCACCCTCGACCAGGAATACGCTTGGGCCAGGACACAACACACCCAACACGCGCAACACACGGGGCGCTCGGCGGTCAACGCATTGGAGCAGCATCTTTTTGGTTCTTGGATAGAACGTACGCACCTCGGACGCGTCTGCACTGCTGCTCGCGCTCTCTGTGTGCACTGGGACTGACCAGACCGAAGACGACACGAGTCAGCCATACGATAACCCATCGCTACCATGGCGCGCCTCAGTGGCCTCCCCAGCGAGCACCACCACGAAGGGCCCGGCGACGCGCCACGACGCAGGCGGGGTCGCCCGTCGAAGAGCTCGCAGAGCACTCAGAGCACCCAGAGCACCCAGGAGGCGGTCACAGTCACAACAGGCAAGCGCGCCGCCTCGCCGCTTGCGTCGCAGTCACAGTCGAAGCGCACGAAGCGCGTGCAGACAATCATCGAGGAGCAGGACGAGGACGACGACGGCTCCTCGCAGCTCGAGGCCGAGTTCCAGCAGTCAGTCACCCGCACACAGTACCTCCCTACCGACACGGTGCCGACGGAGATCCAGTCGTCGCCCATTGTACGCCGCACGCGTCGCGCCTCGGAGCCTGTCGTGGCCGCCTACGACGACGACGACGATGACCTTGCTGGACCTGCCACACAGCCTCTGCCGGGTCTGACGCCCCATCTTGACCGCATTGGCGCCTCACGGGCCAAGTTCGCCAGCCGCCGCCGCGAGCGCATGTCCATGCCCGCCCAGCTGCACGTCGAACGCGTCGACGACGCCGACCTCAGCGGCCACCGCTTCCAGTACGCGCCTCTCACAGCTGTGCTCGATGGCCGCACCCGCCGCCGCCTTCGCCGCAGCCACCTCAGCCAAGAGGTCAACGAGATCGAGGACAGCCGCAAGCGGGGCAAAAAGCAGCTGCTGGAACTGCGCCGCGAGCTCAAGGTGCGCGACGATAGAATTCAGGACCTTGAGTTCCGCCTCGAAGCCAGCCGCCTGGGTAACATCCAGATGAGCGATGCAGACCACGAGGACCTTGCAGAACAGCTGGAGGATGCCCGCCGCGAGCTCGACGAGCTCCGTAACAGCGCACAGTACATGGGCTCGAGCGATCGTGACCTCAGCCGCGAGCTCGATGGCACCACCGAACCCTTCGACAACGACGACGACGACGATGAAGACTTCATGCTGGTCGAGCCCCACGAGCTCAACGTGTCGCAGGAACTCGAGATGGAGTATGCACCCAACGGCCCTTACGCATCACGCGTGCTCGAGCTGTCGCAAGAAGTAACACTCGAGCACCTGCCCTCGATCAGCCAGCTGCGCGTCGACACACTGGAGGACGATGACGAAGCCATGGCACCGCAGACCATCCACGACCAGGCCGTCGAGCGTTACGAGCGTGAAATCCAGAGGCTGATGCAGGAGACTGCCGAGGCCGTCGGCGCCCTTCGTGTCATCTCGATTGAGATTCAGAACCTAGGCTTCTTGAAGCGCGGCGCCAGCAGCGCCGACATTCTGAGCTCTCTGCGCACCGGCTTCGCTGAGCTTCGCACTGCTATCGAAAAGTATTTTCCCAACGAGACCCAGGGCATCACCAACGAGCAGCTGCTTCGCAAGATCCCCAAGCTCTTCAATGGCATCTTCTTTGAGCTGAAGGAGAAGACCGAGATCGCAACCGCCGCACAAGACACCGAGGTCCTTCTGCGCCGCCAGTACGAGGGCGTCTTGGACTTGCTTGGTGAGGCCGAGGAGCGCAAAGTCGAGCTCGATAAGAAGGTCTACACTCTCGACAAGGGCAACGAGGAGAAGCAGCGCACCATTGTCGACCTCGAGGAGCGTGTGCAGACCTTGACAGATTTGACAGAAGACCAGGAGGCGGAGCTGAGACAAAAGGTCCTCCAGAACGACACACTTGTGGAGCAAGTGGACGACAAGGACTCCGATCTCGACCGCCTCCGCGAATCTCTCGAGACCTACCGCGCCGATGTCGAGACGCTCACGCAGACGACCACCATGCTCGAGACGGAATATCAAGAGCGCATCGCGCGCATGGAAGAAGACCATGCAGACATCGTCGCAGACCTCCAGGCATTACTCGACGTGGAGCAAGAGGGTCGCGAGGTTGCTGAGGACGAGGCGGCCCAGAAGACTGGCTTCATCGAGGAGCTGCAGGACCGTGTTGACTCGATGGAGACTGACTTTAGTGCCATAGAAGAAACTTTGGCTGATCTCCGCGAAAAGCTCGAGCAAGAGACGGATGCTCGCGCCGCTGCCGAGACAGAGTCTGAGGAGCAGGGCCAGATCATCTACGACCACACCAACACAATCGAAAACCTCACCGAAACAATCAACGAGCTGACCGACCAGCTTGAGGCAGCCAAGGCCAACATCCTCGCTGAGCAAGGGCAGCGTGAGACCACCGAGACTGCCCTCGACGAAGCCAACGACAAGATCGAGGATCTCAACGACAAGGTCCACCAGCTTGGTATTCAGACCAACGAGCTCCGCAGCAAACTGTTCCAAGTTCAGCAGGAGAAGGAGCACGAGATCCTAGAGATGCAAGCTGCGAACGAGGAACGTGAGGCCGAGCTCACCGAGCAGCTAAACACCGAGCAAGAGCTGCGCGAGGGGGCGCAGCAGGCTATTGCCGACATGGAGAAGCAGCTCGCCACTCTGCGCGAGACGCTCGCAGTGTCCGAGGCTGACCTCGCTAAGATGAGTGAAGCTCGCGACCAGCTTGAGGCGGGCCGCGAGGTTCAGGTCAGCGACCTCACCGGCGAGCTTGCAGAGTTGGAGGCCAAGCATGCCGCACTCGAGAGCTCATCCAGCTCCGAGATTACCTCTTTGCAGGCGCAGATCACCGACCTCACTAACGAGAACGCGCGCAAGCAGGCCGAGATCCAGGGTCTTGCTGAGCGTCTTATCGCAGCCGAGCAAGCACACAAGGAAGAGACGCTTGCACTGGACAGCAACATAGCCAGTTTGGAGCGCGACCTCGCCGAGGCGCAGGCAGACAACGAGGCGTATCGCAAGGAGAACGAGTCGCTGTCTGATCGCGTTGGTCGCGAGGCAGTCGAGCTTCTCACCATCACTAACGCGCACGCCGACGAGGCTGCCGCTCTGAAGGTCGTCATTGAAACCCAGAACGACACCATTTCCGAGCTGCAGAACCAGAACGCAAATCTCGAATCCGAGCAGGAGGCTGTCCTTGTTGAGAAGGACACTCAGATCGAGGAGCTCCACCTCCTTGCTGACGAGCGCGCCGAGAAGCTCGTCCAGGTCGAAGCCGCACGTCTTGACGTGGTCAAGGAGTTCGCCAAGTTTGAGCAGGACACCCGCGAGACCATCGACCGCATGACGCTGCAGCAGCGCGTCCTGCAGGAGCAGAATGAGGCGCTCGCCGAAGACCTCAAGAAGCGTGGTGCCGATGCCGTCGCCGCTGTGCGTGCCATGAAGGTCAAGGGCCTCGAGGTCAAGACTACAGGCGTCGATCTGCACCGCGTTGCGACAGGCAAGGTTGGCAAGATCACCGAGAAGGTCAAGGTCAGCAAGAAGAGCAAGGGTGGTAGGAAGGTCGCGAAGAGGCAGTGGGACAGCGGCTTTGGCGTTGACGAGAACGTTGAGGAGCTCGACGGTGCGGAGATTGGTGAGGCCGCTTAGACAACGCACTGTTGTTGAGCACCTGTACATGCTTCTTGGCGTGTACATGTGTCTTTCTGCGCTGCTACGACAGCATTTCTTGGATCAAATTTTTCTTGGATACCCGCATCGGGTTGTTGGATACGAACATCTGCACACGACTTGATGATGGCACTTCTTCGGCTGAGAGTCGTTCGCTACACTGTAGCTACATTAGGGTGGGATTTCTTTGCATAGCGCGGCGTGTCAGATTGGATACACATAGTTTGTAAAACGGGTATTACGTAGTATGGGTAATCTTATCGTCATCTCATCAGTCACTTCCTCCCTACAGAGGTGCGCTTGCCGAATCTACCACGTCTAGAACATATTGACAACAGAGAGACCGAGCCATCGCCATGACGCACGCACACGTGCAACGCCATTCACTTGTAGTCGAATCATGCCTGTAGAGCACAGTCTACCATTCAACTACAACCTGCTTATCACTACACCTAATACTGTACTCCTCAGGACACTACAAGGCGACCAGACTATCTTCGAGTGCGAGAGCGCCAATGGCATCGTCAATGCCCGCGCAGCAACGAACAACAGCAGTCTGCTAGCGATTGCGGACCGCCATGTTGTCATATTGCACAATACAGCGCGGCCTCGAGAGAAGAAGCATCGACTGACAGGTGGGAGTGTCAGTAGCAGTGATACTGTGTGCGCCGCTTGGTCACGCTGACGGGAGATGCAGGATGTCCCACGGCTGTTACTGTTCTCTTCAGACTCGCGCACGCTATTCTTCAACACTACCCTGAACAACTCGATCCAAGCGTTCTCGCTGCCGACTGGCGCCCTACTACCCTCGTCTCACTCTCATCCTTCACCCCCGAACGTCGTAGCGATATCCAGCGACGGACACATACTACTGTCCGCTTCGTCTTCGCCCCCGACCGTCCTGATACAAGACCGAAGATGGCCTGGCAGCGCAGCAGTAGACTTCAAGCTCACAGGCACGTCGTCAGCCGTCACCTGTGCAGCATTCGAGACCCTCTCCTGGGCAGCAGAACAATCTTCGATTCAGTTCGTACTCGGCTTTAAGGACGGTGCTCTAGCACTGTACAAGACGACTCTGCCGCTGCTCAGCCAAAGCCTAACTCCACACCACGATGATCAGTCAACAGATCGTCAACTCCGGCCTACCGCAGAAGCAGCCTTGAGCAAGCTCCACAGAGCCGCGATGGGTGGCGTCACTGCGGCGGCCTTCATACCCGGTTACGCGTCACGAGTTATCAGCGTCGGACAGGATGGACGGTGTAGACTCGTCGACTTTGCAGGCGGCGGCCGGAAACTCAGGACCTAGCATGTCTCCAGTCCAGCTACATCTCTAGCAGTTGCTACGAGCGCGCCGATTACATCGAGAGGCCGACGAGATGGACCTGTGCTGCTCCAGGGCGATACCACGGACGACCCTGAGACGATGTACGAAGGCACTGAGACATTGATCGCAGTGGGCACACAGGCTGGCAAGGTGTTGGTGTATAACGAAATGGGTCTACTGGTGCATGAGATCGCTATGGACAAGCCAGTTCGATCAGTTGAGTGGGTTGGCGATATGTCTGCGCCCCCGATACTTCCCACGAGAAATTCTTCGCTATCACCTGATTCTGGTCCTGTAATCAAGGCGCTGATGGAAGGAATTGGCGAGATTGAAGACGAGCCGGTGCAGCATACGACAGCGAAAGAGCTGCCCGAAAGGTCAGGCAGATTAAGCACACCGGAGATTGATGGAGAGCCGGCTGTGTCATTCTCTATACAAGCTCAGAGTCAGGACCTGGACCGCTGTTTGCCAAGCGTCTCACAGTCTTCTACCTGGAAGACAGAAATGCCCGGCCTTGCACAACATGAGACCATGATGTCTGGCGCTCTACCTGTGCCATCACAGCCATCCAAAACAACCAACTCTACTGCTAATCGAAGAATGACCAACACGTCAACCGGGCATGTACGTCAGCAGCCCCGAGTCACAAAAGCTCCAAGCGTCCCACCGCGTCCTGTTCGACAGGGTCGCTTATCCAAAGCATCCTGCTGCTCGTTTCGAAAATCCGCTTCGTCCAGCCAGGACTTCTTCACGCCGCCTTCGACCCGCTTTCCGTCGATTCGCAAGGCCGAAAGCAAAGACGAGGCTGCCCGGCGAACCATCGAGTTCCAACCAGCTGTCCGCAAGAATGGACATGAATCACTGCGCATCTCGAGCGAAAATGGCTCTACGGTATGGGAACATGAACAGGGCAACAATGATCAGCCAATTGCGCGCTCAACGGGGAGGTTAGGCTTGGCCAAAGCAAAGATGTCTCGACCCGCGGCAGCTGCTACAGACCTTCCTGCTCGCTCTGCATCTTCGGACAAGGACGTTTCTTCCTCGTTGCGCAGCATATCGCGCAGCTATGACTCGATACCACCTTCGGGTGCTATGCTGAATCAACTAGCACTTCAGGGCAATGTAGCGAAACAGTCCCGAGCGATGATTAGGAAGCGGAAGCTGGCGGACATCTCACCCACTCCACTGATCGAACCCCCTTCCCATGATGTCTCGAGTAGTCTCTACTCTCGATCAAAGTCTCGCGTGTTCCGCAGCCATTCAAAGGCACTCGATGGCGGAGCAGATACTGCACCACCGCTAGTCCACAGCCCGGCTTATGGACCGAGGAGAAGCTTCAGCTTCAAAGCTGGCCTGCACGACGTCGAAGCCTTAGCCGAGCAGCGGTACATTGATGGGAGGAAGTCGGAGGCGTGGACAGGTGGCAAGCGGTCCGAGATGAGTCGTCTGCGCACCGACAACGAGGCACTCAAGCAGCAGATCCTTGTGCTGCGCAACGAGTTCCAGACTCTAAAAGATGTGCTGCTCCAGGCGGAGACCCATCGGCGGTGGGAGGCGTGCATATCGTAACCCAGTCCTCATAGCTCCCTCAAACTACTCACATCCACCTCCTCACACTCCAAAATGGCTTCTTCTCCACGTCACCCATCTTATCAAGCACCACACTACTCCCCCCCACCCCGCTCATCCCCGCCTCCTCATCCCCCCCGCTTGCGCGGGCAGACGCATACCCCCAACTCGCGCGCGTACTGCGCCCCTTCTCCAGCGCGCGCAGCGTGCGCTTGCGCTCGCGTCGTTCGCGGCCCCACCGCTGGAATCCCGTGGCGGCGCGCCCGTCTACGGCGTCGTCGGAGAACAGGTCGTGCGCGATGCGCCAGGACAGGTAGGTTTGGAACGCTACGAGGAGGAGCAGCAGCAGCAGTGCAATTAGGATGCCAAAGGCGAGGAAGAGGAAGAGGATTGTTTCTTCTGAGTGGATGTCGCCGTTCTTCTTATCGTTGCCCATCGTTGTGCTGGCGGGTGCGGAACCCGGCGGCTGTGGCTGTGGCTGTGGCTGTGGTTGTGGTTGTGTGTAGGCTTGTGGTTGGGCGTAGGCTTGGGCTTGTGCAGCTCGCGCGATGAGTCGATGCAGGTCACGTTTTGAGGAATGCAGCATGGCGGCGCCGTCGTTAGGATATGTTACCTTGGTAGACGCGATGTGCTTCGCCGTCCGGTCCCGCCGCGCGTCAAAAGCGTGTCATGTTATAGGGGCTGTCGCAAATGATGCCCATAGGCCCTGTTTCGCCCTTGTTTCGCCTTGATGGGCCTGGTTACGCTCAAAGCTAGGCCGAGGATCGCTATCCCTGTGCCTCACAGCCGTCTGCAACACGGCAATTTCGACTGCGGGTGGTTCTCCACTCCGGATGAGGGCGTATTGCGATCTGCGAACAGTGCAGGGGCGGTGGCTGACGTAACATCGGGGCTGTGAGCTCCTGGGAAGGGGAGAGGGGACCGGGTTACACAGTTTAGGAAGATGGTGGGTGTTCGTTGTAGATTGTGGTTGTGATTGTGATGTCGCACATACATACATGTCCCCTCTACGATCCGTTACTTCAGCTTCGCATACTGCTTCCCCCACTTCTGCGCGATCTCATTCTCGGTGAAGCGCCGCGTCTTGCGCTTCAGCATCGCCGCGCGCTCGTCCATCGTCATGGCCATCTGCGCGCCCATCGGCACCAGGCAGCGCGCCAGGTGCGCGTAGTTCTTGCTCAGCAGCGTCACGGTCAGCATGAAGTAGTCGATGTTGTGGAAGACGAGCGCGTGCTCGGCCGCGTACTGCTGCTTCTGCGTCAGAAAGGCGGCGGGATGGTCGCGCCAGTGCCGCAGCGGGTTGAGGTGGTGCGACGTGTGGTAGCCGTCGTTGTAGCAGTAGCGGTTGCTCTGGTGCCCAAGTCAGTACGCGGGTGCGGTCCAAGTCATTATGCGGGTGCGGTCGAGAGAACTTACGGGTGCGTCGATCAGCGTGATGCTGGAGCGGAAATCAGAGTCAGGCTCGACCTCGTCCACAAACGCGTGCTGGCCCCAGTTGCCGGTCATCAGCGCGATGCGCATGAGCGCGAGCGGGATCAGGAAGACGAAGATTGTTGCGCGGGCGTTGGCGAACTTGTACATGCTGTACAAGAAGATGTAGTTTGCGACTTCACAACCTCCGGCCTTCAGCGCGAGACTGGTCTTCTTGTTGCGCAGGAAGTAGCGCGGCAGGTCGAACCAGACGAGCAGGTAGAAGCGACCGACGTAGTGCAGGAAGTGCAATACGCTGTCGCGCTGGTAGCGGACAGTCGATGACAGGTCGTTGGGTCCGTTGCTTTCGATGTGGTGGTGCTTGACGTGGTGGAAGAAGTACGAGTTCCACGTGTGTCCCATCAACGGGTCGAAGATGTAAGGGAAGACGGTGTCAATCAGAGCGTACTTTTTGCTCAGCACGCCTCGCATGTGGATGTGCTGGTGCATGAGCAGAGTGTAGGGACCCATGTAGTAGAGCTGCACGGCGGCGTGGAGCACGCCATGCCACCAGTGGAAGTTGTAGAACAGGTACAGTGCAGATGGTATACTTGTGCAGAGGTAGGTGAGAAGATGCGTGATCATGATCACATCAGTCTCGGTTCGAACAACCCCTTTCGCCCAACGCACATATGGGTCGATGATCCATTTGCGCAGGGCAGAGTTCTTGAAGTCAGGAAGGTCCCAAGCGCTGAAGACGGTGGTCTCAAAGACATCTGATTTGGGGTTGTTGAGGTTCTTCAGGTAGGCAATGGTCTGCTGCTCGCTTTCTTGAGTGTCTGCAGCGTGTCAGTCAGAATCGAGGTATAAGCGGAGTCGGCAAACCTTACCCTCCGGGGAAGGTGATACATGTTCTGTGCGCTTGGTTGCAGAATCATCAGACTCCTCTGCAGCGTCGGCAGCTACAATCTCCTGCTTGGCATCAAATTGCTCATAGTCTTTCTGCAGGTGACCCAAGACCAGCTTGTCCGCAGCTGTCAGGTCAGCAGCCGGTGGAAAGTGGAGTTTGCCCATCTTGGTAGATGCGGCACTGGATCGCCGGCGTCAAGGTACCAAGAGATTGTTGATTCGCAAGCGCTCGACCACACGCAAGTCAATGGCTGGCCGAGAGAACAGCAAACAAACGGAACAAACGAGAGACCTGCTTCAGGGAAGCTGTGCGTCGGGAAAGACGAGTTGCAAGCCGTAGGTGGAAGAACACCTGCGGTCGAAACATCGGTGTGGATGGCTAAGGGAGGTGGCGAGACGGGGTCCCTGCACGACACGCGGAAGCTGTCTAGCGCTGAAATGCGAGATCTGCGGGGCCGCCCAGAAATTGGCCAGAATGTCAGAACTTCGACCTAGAACTGTATTTTACATATTGTATCAGTGACCATCCATGCGCCCTTGTTGTTGCTTTCTGATGCACTACTCGTGCTTCCTCTCGTCAAGCCGTTGGTGCTCACGACGCGCAATCAACTCTTTGTAATCCCTAGCCCATAGCACATAGACCAGCCCGCCGAGGCTAACAGCTAGCAATGCAATGCTGAATGAGAGCAGGATCCCGATCATCGCTGAGACGTGGATCGCATAGTAGACGAGAGCCTCCGTTGCAGGCGGTACGATGACGTGGTGTTCGAAGGAGACCATGATCGATTTCTGTCGTAAATGGTCAAGGGATGCGCGTTATCCTGGATTCATGAGATAATCTTCCGTTATTAATTTGAGTGGTCGCGGTTCTGCGCGATTGAGGCAGGTTTGCTGATGTAGGGAGGAAGGTGGGGTTGAAAGCGACCTGCGTTTTGTACGATTCTGCGAGCGTATCAGCGAAAGCAGATATTCCAATTTTTGCACGACTCACCTGGACTTGTGGTGGCAGGTTTGCGGTTATAAAGGGATGGGCAAAAATGCAACACACGGATGAGACCGGTGTTGTAGGTGGAGGATGCTTGGTCGAGAACAACGGCGGTAAGCGAGACAGCACTTCAGGCATGATTACATCACAATAACTGGACAAAGAAGCAGCTATAGATCAAGACTCGTAGCACACTTCTCAATGGACTGATCGGCACTTTGGTAGAGTCGTGAACATTCATGGCTCCTGCCGGCGCCTCAAGCTGCTTATGTTGATTGTCTCACGGCTGGTGATGTTAACTCGGAAGGACGGTTGTATTCTTCAATACAGACGCCTGTCCAGTAGTCTATCGAAACGAATCTGATGTCTCATCGCCTCAGAGTACACCCAAGTCATCATTACCCCTCATCGTCGACCAAAAATCGATCACCGTCATCCTCGAAATCCAACCCCACATCGTCAGATGCGTCTTTTAGCTCCAGCCCAGCCAGCGCGGCCTGGAACTCCTCATCATTCTGATATGACAGAATCAGATCCCTCTTCCAGCGCAGCAGCATCCATGAAGTGAGCAGGATAGTGAATGCTTGCGTCACGACCAGCAGGACATTGCCCTTCCGTGTCTTCAAATTAGGTCTCGTCAACACACCCACAACATCATCTACTAGCGCGATATAAGCCGCGCGCCAGATCATCCTGTCGATCAAACTGAGTATGTGGCCCAGGAAAGACGGAGCAACAAATATGAGCACCGCATTGATAGCAACCAATGTCAGATGCACGATAAACTCGCTGCGCCGCTGCTGTGTCCCGGCAGATCTCTCGGCAATAGCGACGCTGATGAGATAGGTGGTTGCAAAGTCGGCAAGGAAAAATTGAAGGTTGAACGGCGTGCCGAACAGCCAGCGGTATGTATAGAGGATTGCGGCGCGGTATATGTCGCTCTTGCGTGAGAAGCGGACGGCTTGTCTGGGAGTCGGCTCAGGACGATCGGTGGGGTAGAAGAGAGATGCGAGCCAGTATGTTGGTATGGCAGAGAGGACAATGCAGATGATGTTGGCTTGTATGGTGTTGAACGGCGAGCCGAAGGTCATGTATAGGGCGACGGTGATGAAGGGGAAGTAGAGGTGAGCGGCGGTGCGCCATGCTGAGCACGGGGGTGCTGGGCGCAGTGAGGAAGCGCGATCGTTTTTGAAGGCATTCGGGAGGTTTTGTGGGCTTTCAGCTTGTTGGTGGTCTTCCATCTTGGACTGCTCTCGAGATGCGGGGGAAAATAACGGGGTTTAGGTTGTCGCCAAGAGAAGCACGTTGTCACGCTGTCACGTGGTGTGGACACTGCAATCCGACCCACCTACTTTATCTTCCACTTCATTGCATTGCTTTGTTGGCAATCTTTGGTTCCATCAGTACAACTAGAGACGCTCTTACCAGCCGCTTCACCAGAGTCAACCCCAACCACTGACTGAACCACGATCGAGAATGTTGCCGAAAGCGCTGTACAATCTTCGCGAAAGTCGAACAACTTATCGAAGTCCTGAGTCTGATAAGGAACAACTTCGATGATGCAAAGTTCCATGATTCAAGTAGCAAGGATAAATACTGTCAGCCGACCGACCGGACCTCGAGTCCTTGAAGCACCTCAAAGACTCACTGAACCAAGTTTCCTCTAGACTGACCGCAGCCAACAGCCTCAAAGAAGCCCTCGTATGCCCGTTCAAGATCAGGAATATCGAAATGCTGATGACGGATGTCGAGCGCAGCATACCTCTCTCATACTAGCATTTGCGGCCATCGCCCGCAAGCTGCTTCTTGATGCAATTAGTGTCAGCTGAAGCATTACGGACAGTCGACTCTGGAGACATGTTCCAGGACAGTCTAAAGCGCTATGGCGACTGACTTGACAGTATTGCGGATGGCGTGGCCAACATGCAACATGAACAAATTAATACCAACAAGTTGACAACACCATCAGCGCCATACAGCAGTCTTTCAATCGTTCACAAAACACTGCAATGGTCTTGTGACTTTCAAAAAGTGAATTATTTAGGCGTACTCTGTATTTCATGGAACACCGGAGCTTTCGATTGCTATCCTGCTCTTCACCATGCAACAGTCCGCAACCGTTAATCATGTCTTTTCGCATTGACCAAAGTGCCATCGTCGACTGCAAGACTGCGGGAATTTAATTTCGAAAGCAAGTATAGGGGGAGTTCATAACCCTACCAACAGCACTTTGTGCAGCAGTTCACGCTCATTGACCCAGGCAGCAGATTTACTCGTCAAATACGGCGCTACGCTTTCCTATTGTACTTTCGCATTGAATGTGTTTTCTAGAGAAAATGGATGTACTCTTTGAGTCGGGCGTCCGAGTAGGCGTCAATAACAATCAGGCATGACTGATCTGATGTACGCCACAAAAGCGGTGACGCGGATATCATTCGTTGATTATTCCTGACTTGCGCTGACATACACAAAACATACTGAGACAACTCCACAGCGCTCAGACAAGCGATGTATAGGGAGTACGTGTGGTTGATAAACTTTGAAGTTCTGCGCATCCTCTGCGAAGCTGGTGCGCAAATTCTACTTCCTGCAGATTCTAGATTCGGCGTCATAGACGAAGTTACAGCTCTCATAGGTTATAGTAGGTATCTATAATGTGAGTGATCATGAAAAGAAGTCTTCAAGCTCCATTAGGGCCTCTTTACGAGATGTTAAGGATGCCAGTAGGAAGTAAAGGCTTCTCAGGAGGGGCTGGCTTAAGTAGGAACTCTGTTAATGTTTGAAAAGCCTGTAATTCAAGGCGTAGAAACTTTGGATACATGGCCTTAAGATTGAATTGTATGGATGATTTCAGAGAACAATATCGGGTGCCTGACACTGCCTAGGATACCACGGGGCATGCGACCACAGCGATAGCAAGCCTAGCTGAATTTCATGAAACAAATTCTACATACGTCTGCACATAGCCTGCCGGTATTTACACAATGTATAACATTTCCTCCTCCATCTTAAGTGATACTTCGCGACAGTAAATTGTCTCAACAATGATTACCATCTCAACACCCCGCTCGAAATCCAAGAATATTTCTGTCGAGGACAGCAGTATCCTTGAGTCCACATCAAAAACCCTGATGCCATAATCTTCCATACAATTAATCTCAGCTGCAGGGCTATACTCAAATTTTTCTCGTGATTTTGGCACAGATCGCGTGTCCGCGACGACATATACTCCAACGACTAGTAAAGCAGACCGCCACGTTAGCTAATTCAAGCTCAGGGCTCCGCGTAGAATCACACACCATACCTCCTGTTGGCACAGTCGACACTCTGTGCGTGCTCGCCGCCCGCTGTGGTGCCGTCCATCAGTGGTACTGCAGTACCTGCTGCTGCGTGATCGCCAGCTTTCGATTGAGCTCTTGTCCCTCACGTAGCGCTAGTATCCTTCATCGCGTTATATATTGCGTCCAACTCGAAGGAAAGCCAGTTACGTCTGTCTTCGCAATCATCCAGTTCGCAGCGAATCAAGCGGAAGATCGCTGTAGTGAGAGTAGAAAAGATCAACAGGCCGATGCTGTGAAACGAGAACATGTCGTTGGACACCAAGTCAGCAAGAGAATTTATTTCGGTTCTAATTGATCTCAAGCTAGGTTTAACTTATAATTGTTGAGGACTTGACAGGTACTGGATAGTGTTCAGTTGGCTGGCTGATCACTGCCTTGATATCTGACCACCCACGTGAGACTGACTGTATCAAATTCATTGTTGATGACTAGGTCGACAGACCGATGCTTCCCCGTGAATGAGCATGCACGTTATAGTAGGATATCAAAGCCTTCCTTCTGAGCCGCCTTTGATAAGACTCTATGACAATACCGTAGAGTGCACATGATGGCGGGGTAGACGCAAAACCAATAGGGGCTTGTTGATGGTGAGATGCAAATTTCTGTTCGTTGGTCGTCATAGCATAGAGGCGATGATATGAAACCGGGAAGTAACAATCTGGTCAAGATGACGATAGAGCAAGGACGAGAGCCGGTGAATCTTGGCTGCAGTGCGAGAGAAGAATCTTCAGCGATCGAAAGCATGATTTCCATGATTAGAAGCCCAAGTATGATTTTAGCATGGAAAGGCCGCAAGAAGGCTCATTCGAGTTACCAAACACAAGACGGAACATGGGAAGATGAAGGGAAGATGTAACGGTTGAGAGGAGAAGCAGATCACGTGTTGTTGGCGGTAGTCTGGTGCTACTTCCTCATGTTGTTGAGCACCTCTTACCTCAGCTGCATCACAAACACGTCATCAAAACAGACCACGCAGCGAGCCTTGGAGAGCAAAGATACAAGCAGAACAAGAACACAGAGCAACACCATACACTCGTTTATACATTTGCCCTTGATACCGCAACAGAATAACGACTCGATTGAGTATATGCGCGCGGTCTAACAGTTCGATAACACTTCAGACGTCTTCGACGTCTGCATGTGTACAAGACCCGCTCATGACGACGACGATGAGTCCGTGTCGTCTGAAGAGCTAGTCTCCTCCTCGACAGCAGAATCAAACCTGTGATGGTTTTGATACAATTCCACCTCGAGCTCGGGACTGTCCGAGTGTAGGAACTTCAGTGTGAAAGTCGTTTCTGGATGGTTCTCTGGAGCTGGTCCAAACTGACCCAACGAGGCGTCCATACTCTCCATATCCTGAGACAGGCCGCTGAGTATACCGTGTAGCCTTTGGGCACGTCGCAACTCGACTTTTCTCATCATCTTCACCGCCTTCGAGAAAGTCTCAACGCTCTGCTCGAGGTTCTTCCAGGCGAATTGTCCAGGAGTGTGGCGTTCGTGTGAGGCGATGTGTTCTCGTGTATCAGTGACTCAGTCATCCAATCGTCTCAACTCCTTCTAGAAGCAGAAGTCTTCCATCTTAGCACTGATATCTTCGAGCTCGGAGTCTTCTTCACTGTCTTCTTCGGTAACTTCGACATTAGACGGTGGCGCCGGGATCGATGGTTTTTGAGATGGCTTCTTGCCTCTTTCGAAGTATAAAATCTTGGCGACGGTCTTGCTTGTTATTCCCAATTTACTCGACACAACCTCCACCTGCGTACCAGCTCGCACCTGGCGTATAACCCACATCCGGTCATTTGTGGTGACACCTTTATTGAATATGCTGAGCCCCCTTTTCTCGCGATCCGCACTGTACAGATCTTGTACGTGCCTAGTCGACAGCCCGAACTCGATAGCCACAGCTCTAGCGTCCTTACAGCCACCCTCGCGCATTCTGTTGAGTATTTGATATTCTGTCTCGGGCGACACAAAGTACCTCTTTCAGGCCATAGCTTCGCGGTCCTTCAAGCCTCTGTAGTGGTGTTGCGGGTGACACGCTGGTGATATGTACCCGGGGAATAGAGATACTTCGGTGTCTGCCATTAATTAGTCAGAGAGCTGTCGATGTACAAGTGAATGGAGATTCGTCGCAGTGATGGACACTCAAAATACCTGTAGTAATATGGGTATACTGCTAATGAGACTTGTCACGCAATGAGTATAGCTAGGGAGTGCTGTAGCTTCGACGTCGAGTAGGAGGTAGCGTAATTGCACAAACAAGATTGGAAAGAGTACTAGGAAGGAAGGAATTGGGAAGGAACTTGAGAAGGCCGCAATGATGATATTTGCGGAAGTGACAAACGCCCAACTCCAACGCTGGTGATGCAAATAATGAGATGCTAATTCCACCCAATGATGCCCTCAGCAACCGTCAACGGTCCTTTCATCGACCCCGTCATAACCGACACCCTCCGCCCGATAATCCCTGCATCGCCGACTCCCAGATCTAGCTTTTGCGGTAGATGCATCGTCGACGCCTCACTTGACTCCAACGAGAAAGAGTAGAACGGTGGCGTCTGAACAGGAGAGGCGGAGCCCGAAAGGTCGCCATCGCGGCTGCAAGTATAATCAGCGGAGGACAATGAACGATCTGTTGTGTGGCCTACTGGATAACGACCCAGTGCTTCTCTCTTTGCGCATCGTCATCCCAGCCATGGAATTCTACACTGGTCCCTGGTGCGCACATCTGGTTGTGAAAGAACAGCATCATGTCGTCGGTGTTTGACCTGCGCAAGTGCTGTGTCCGCCTGAGAACGGCGATAGAGCCTCCCTGGCTAATTCGACTTGAGTTGCCGTTGCACATATTGGATAGTGTTAGAGCTGCGACACTAAGGCGAGGTGTAGGACGGGCCTAGGTAAGATCTGAGCGGTGGTAAAGTGAGAGGTCAGACAAGGCGTTTAACAGTTCTGGCAGACAAATGAAAGGCCAGTTCGTGTTTTTGAAGGATTGCTGGTGGTCACGGACATTGGGCGCGTGTTTGAGGGTTGCGAGCGAATGCGTCCCTTTGAGCACATTTCAGGAGAGTACCTGATTGGCCAAATCTTCGCGCTAGCCACTGCGGTACTCCGAGCATTAGCACAGTGTGCACAGCAACCCCACATGAGGACCTGAGGTCGTAGCTATTGTCATTGCTGAGTACTCTCGATACCTAGATAGAGGCCTTCAGGACCTTGAAAGCATCTGCGCGCGAACCCAGGAAGCGGTCCTCTGCGGTTTTCCAATTGATGACGTTCCAGATGTTCTGCACATACGCGGCCTTGCCGTTCAAGTACTACTTCAGTGAGTAAAAGCTCTCAGAATTAAAGATAGAATTTACCTGGAGGTAGTACGCATGCTCCCACATGTCGACGCCAAAGATGGGGACCTCTCCCTTGCCAACCACCGGATCCTGGTCCTTGGTCGTGACAATGGCGAGCCTCTGCTCCTTGCCAGTCTCGACCTTGACCAGCCAGCCCCAACCACTGCCCTGGATGCTAAGTAACGCAGCATTGAAGGCCTCCTTGAACTTGTCCTCGTCGCCCCATGTGGCCTTGATCTGCTTCACAAGCTCGGGCGCAGCAGAGCTCTTAGCTTCAGCTGAGCTGGCAGGGGCAAGGTTCTGCCAGAACAGGGAGTGGTTGATGTGTCCGCCAGCGTTGAACTTGATACCTTGCTGGACAGCGACTTGAGCTGTGATGTCTGACGTGTGTACCGCCTCGGCTTGTGTCTTTAGAGCAGCGTTCAAGTTCGTGATGTATGTCTGGTGGTGCTTGCCATGGTGCAGCTCCATGATCTGGGTGGAGATGTGAGGTTCCAATGCCTATGTTGCAGTCAGCAAACATCAATCGATGGTATAATTGATTCAGATAAGCTCACATCGTATGCATAGGGCAGCTTAGGCAGCGTGTACTGTGGTGCAGACATCTCTCCAAACTCGAATGGCTGTTGTTCTGAAGCAGAGATTCTGATTGCAGAGAACAGAGAGGCCAGCAAGAGAGACACAGCCGACCTGCCCCGCATCTTTGCTATGTATCTGACGTGCTTGACCGTTTGTCAGATGTCGACTCCAACAAGGTGCTCGACAGTAATGGCGTCCCGATCGGGTCTAGTGTCTCAAAACTGCCTCAATTCCACGCGATCCTACGCAGACTTGCAGACACGTCTGTGTTTGAGCTTCTCGCTGCTGTGAGAAAAGGTTGAAGAAGTAAGGGGTAGTTTAGAGATTGGTAGGTGTTTTGGTGTCTCGAACGGCTTTCTCGATAGAACGTAGGCACCGCAACTCAGCGAGCTGACAACACGTGTGCGGTAGGTAGCCGGACTTCCCGGATCGCTGTTGAAGATTGTAGGTCCAGCTCCGCTGTGTCGCTTTGGTTCGAGGGAAGATATCAAAGAACACTTGAGAGGAGATGTATCAGCCGTTGTGAGCCTGTCACTTTAATGCTTGGAAATGTAGTCGGAGGCGTGGGGTGCAACGCGGATTTGAGCCGCGGCTGGTGTGGCACGTGAGCTTCGACGATTGCACTTCATCCTGAGTTCCACCACACGCTCTAGCGCCACTTTTTCGAGGTCTGCGTACGACTCAAGGAGCTCTCATTGATGGGTCGCTTCATTGCCATCTCCATCTCTCAAACCGTAGTCACAGACAAGAAAATGTTGTCCACCGTCGACGTGCCACTGCTATTTCACAGTCGTTCCTGGTCAAAATGTAGGGATGGACAACGTGTCTAACAGGGCGCTTATCTTGGAGGTCATGTCTATCTTGGAGGTCGTGCAGTCTGTCTCCTCACCCTCGCCTCCTCCACGACCTTCGCCGGTCTCTTCAACACCATCGGCCCTTTAACAGCAGGTCTCCGAATCGCGCCATGAGGCGCAGCCATATCCGCATTCCCCTTCTTCACAGTTTTATCCGTCTGCCCCTTGATTCTCATCGCTACCTCCTCCCACACCCCCGGTACCCCTGTTTTCGTCGTGAACATCTTGCCCTCCTTTACGAAGAATTTGAACCGCGGCTCAGCGATAACTTCCAACATTCTCTTCCCAATCCCCTTTGCGCGCTGTCTCTGCGCCCACGCCTCACTTTTTGGGATTTCGAGATTAGCCAGACGGAACTTCCTGCTCGGCAGCGCGCGCAGCTCGTGCAAGAAGGCGGTGGTATTCTTGCGGAAGGGGAAGATGCGCAGCGTGACGAACTCGAGTTTGGTGTTCGCGGTGGGGGCGCTGTTGGTTGGGTTGTTCAGCGAGCGCGCGAAGTTCATCAGGTTGTGACGAGAGCGGCGCGCGTACTCGGGGATTTGAAGGAAGACTTGGTGCACGAAGGGTGCGGTCACGTAGGCCATTGTTAGGGTGGGGATGGTGCCGAGGACGCCGACTGTGGTGGGTTAGTAGGTTGATACGAGCGTTGGAGCCTGGTGATGAGTAACGCTTTGCGGATGCTTAAATCAATGTGATAAAACGCGTGTAAGGTTGATGAAGAACAACATCAGCTTGGCAATTCTCCGACAACAGGCAATGAAGCCTGTGGGGCTGGTGAAAGTAATTGAGAGATAGAGAGCGAGCCTACAGAGGTGGGATTGGATGGTTGAAAGAAACAAGAGCGGAAAGTCCACAGAGGATGAACGCAAAAAGATGCAGTGGATGATCGTACCCAGTATAGCCTGTGCCTTCCTCAAGTTAGGATCAGGCTGGTTTTCATTGTTCCATAACGGTGGCACCGCGAAGACGAGGGTTGTTCCAAACTGCAGCAGGGCCATGGCTTTCCAGAAGGAGACCCATGTTGTGCGTGTGTCTCCGGCATCGTAGATCAACAACCTCGACTTGTACACTGAAAGTTTGCGTCAGTAAAATCTGAACAACTGATTTGACTCAACTCGATTCATCGTCCACTCACTGCGATCCTTCTCTGCATTCTTAGCTGCAGCGCGTAGGGCTGGCGACGTGGAAAATTTCCGCTGGCAGCTTCTGCAGATGAATTGCGCTATCTTCAGCTTCGGGGCCTGCTGTGCAGTCCGCGCCCACGGTGCTGAGCCTCTGAAGGCAGCTGCCAATGTGAAGAGTCGCGGCTGCATCTCGATTGATGTTGGAATATTCTCTGGTGACCGACGCGAGAGGTGATGCGCTTCGGCTAGACTTGCCCCTGAGGCACGCTGTCACATGACGGTGGACCCTGGAATTGGCGTGAGATGTGACCACGATTCAGTCCAGTTGGGTGGTTGCACCTTGGCATCAACATGCTCATTGCTGGGTGAATGCGCTTTTGTGATGTTTCTTGGACGCCCAAGGGTCTGGTGTGAGGCCGTTGTCAGCATGTTGTTTGCTTCTGCGCTGTTGTCGCTCGTTTTGCTGTTCACTTCAGTCCATGCGTACCACGATCTCAGCGACGATACCCTCAAAAGCCTACCTGGCTCGGGCAGTGACTTCGACATCAAGACTGGAGCGCTGCTAGCACCTATTCTGCGGCCCCGAGTGTCCGGCACTGAGGGCAACGCGGCCGTGCGGCAACACTTCCTCGACTTCTTCAAGACGAACCTCCCGGAATGGCGCATTGAGCTGCACAACTCGACCTACACTACGCCCGTGAGCAAGGGAAAGGAAGTGCCGTTTGTCAATGTCATTGCGACACGTGATCCGCCTGGGACGAGCGAAGGCGACGTCTCGCGCCTGGCACTGGTCGCCCACTACGACAGCAAGCTCACGCCAAAGGACTTCATCGGCGCAACAGACAGCGCGGCACCATGCGCCATGTTACTGCATGCTGCGCGCACACTTGACGCTGCGCTGACGAAGAAGTGGGCTTCCGGGGCGGGCGACGATCTGGACGTGGAGCACAAGGGCGTGCAGATCCTGCTGCTGGACGGCGAGGAGGCCTTCCACAGCTGGACCGACACAGACAGTCTGTATGGAGCTCGGTAGGATAGGACAGTTACTGCATACTTGACGCAGCTGATAAGAATGGCACAGTGCACTCGCCGAAGACTGGGAGGCCTCCTTCCACCCGGTTGCCTCGACGTACCGCACGCCCCTCGACTCGATGGAGCTCTTCGTGCTGCTCGACCTGCTTGGCTCTAAAGGGCCGACAGTCCCGTCATACTTCAAGACCACACACTGGGCATACAAGCACATGGCGAGCGTTGAAGACCGTCTGCGCAAGCTGAAACTGATGCGCTCCTCGCCCAACCACCCTGACCGCTTGGCCAAGCGCGAGAACAAGAAGCCGCGCGCCGAGCCGCACTTCCTGTTCGAGGAGAACAAAAACGAGGACTTGTTCATGGGCGGCTTTGTGCAGGACGACCATGTCCCGTTCATGGCGCGCGGCGTAGAGATTCTTCACATCATCCCTTCGCCGTTCCCGCGAGTGTGGCACGAGAAAGAAGACGATGGTGAGCACTTGGATATGGACACAGTGGAGGACTGGGCAAAGATTGTCACGGCCTTTGCAGCTGAGTGGATGGAACTGGAAGGCTTCTTCGACTTCAAGGCAGAGAAGCGGCGGGATTCGATGGCGGAGAAGTCAGAACTGTAAGTAGTTAAATTAGCCGAACTGGATTCGAATTAACGCTGTGTAGTGATATACCCTGATCTACGACTTTGAGGCATACCCGAATTTGGCATCTACTGTGATCAAGAATTTGAAATATGATGCGACTTTCAGCTGACGAACAATGTCAACAACGCAGGTTCAAGACATTTTTCGTGGTGCACACAACACCCTTTGTGGTCCAAGACCTTGTAAGATACGGCTACAATCCGAGACAAAGGGCCTCAGAACTTGAACCACAACCTGAAACGATCACAACGTTGCACCATATCGCTCAAATATCTACCTTTTTCATACATACACCCGAGTTGCGCCGTTTCTTACACTGATTTGTGCTTCAGACTCGATGCAGTTGAGTCGATTCTGAAAGACCAACAGAGACGTCGACGACCACAACTTCAGAGATATGGCAGCGCAGCATCGACGAGAAGGCAAGCATGCCGTGAAGGATGGCGACTTGACCAATACGAGGTACGATGAAAACGACCGTGGACAGCTCCTCGCTGCAGTTAAAGACGCTGGCTGCTACATCAAGGACGACAAGAAGAGTGTCATGGCACGCAAGCTCGCCGAATACGACCAAAAAAAGCTCTACGAGGAGAGAAGATCTGCGCATGAGCGAAGAGAGAAAGAAGAGGCGAGGCAGCAAGAAATGGAGAACGCCACGCAAGCCCAGCGAGACCGCCGAAGAGCACGTGCGAAGCGCAACGAGGAGAGAGCCATAAGCTATGAATGTGGCGAAGAGGTCAGCTCCAACTCTGACGACACGGACGAAGACCATGACATATGCGATGCCGGCGGTGAGGCGCTCAGTGACGAAATATGGGAAGACACTTGCTCGGAAACTACCATCAGATCGCGAAACCTGCCTCTTCGTCTAGGGTGCCGCCTTCAGCTCTTCGAATGGCCATACCTTGACCCACCGCAGCATAGCCCACCATCCGACCTTGAAGCCAAATCACACCCAGCGCCGCTCGCATACACATCGCTAAAGCTGGTCACAACTACCACCCATGAGAAAATCACACTTCCTGGAAAATCCTACCTTGCCGGCGTGGATCCTGACTTTGTCCCTCTCCTGTCCCCACGCACTCGCACCGCCGCACGCCACAGGCATATGCTCAACCAGTTCTCCCACGCCGTCATCGAACCAGGCGCGCTCTGGGCTCGCCGCACCGCAATACAAGGCTGGAACGGCCGCATGTATTTCTCGCTCCCGCCCCAATCTCACCACGACAAGAAGAACACCCGGCTCGATGACGTGTACCATAAACGGCACACTGCAAATGCAAAGCCTCTGCACCCTACACCGGGGGCTGCAGATGTCAGAGAAGATCGAAGAAACAGATTTGAACGGAGGGTGAACAATAAGCGCAAGCGTATGGCGGAAGTGTACGAGGCGAGTCTATGGGAACCTTTAGCACTGGGATATATGCCAAGTTATCTGAACTGGGAACTGGGCGGTCAACTTTCCGATGCCTCGGATACCCACAAGACACTTGCGAGTCCGTGGTATGTGCGCTTCCAAAGGTGCAATGTACCGCATTACTACTTCTGGAGTCTAGAGAGCGAGTGGAGCGATCCCACGATCTCAGATCCGTCGTGGAGTGCTGAAGTGTTCAAGCAACACAATATCGAGACAGCGAAATGTCGCAGCCAAAACCCGCAGTGTACGAAGTTCAGGGTCAGGAAACTGACTTCCCTCCCTACTCACAGCGCCGCTGCTGCGGAATCCTTCCAGACCCCAGTCCCGCGTTGTGAGGACGATCTTCTTGCACATGGTCTCCGCGCTATATTTGCAACCTATGCCGCCCTTGCGAGATCTACCGGTATGCAGAAAGCGTGGGCTACGTTCACGCGCCAACTGCCATGTCTCTTCCCCAGCGGCGAGCTGCCTCGTGCGCCTCCAGCGCAGCCACGAAAGGATATGTGTCTGGCGGACAAGATGGCTGCGCTTCTATCCGGCGGCGACGGTGCACTGTACTCGGGCAAGGAGGCGTGGGCCAGGGATGGCGACGAGGCTTGGGATGTCGTCGTTGGTGCTGCGGATGCGCACGTCCTCATGTCTGATGGCGACAGCTCGACAGCATCGTGCCGCTCGCTGTCACACGTAGAACACGCAGAGCACGGCGACGATGGAGAAGAGGCTCTTCACCGCCGGGACAGCATGGACATTCTCCAAATTCCCTCGTCCAGCGAAACGCGTATCTGGACCTGGCTCTCCGCCGTCGAGCCCACAAACTCACCGCCCAGCACACCCCTTCCCGCATCCCCAAACTCCAAAGACTGCCATCCCGTCTGCCCCCTCCCTCTTCCCCCCGCCACATCCTTAACATGCCCTTTCTGCAGTCACAACTGGCGTGCCACCCCATACTGGGAGAGAGCAGCACATATGCTGTCACACAGCCACATCTCGCCGCAGCGTCTGACTTCGATTTCCGACGTCAACGTCGCCGGCAAGGGGTGCAACCGCAGATACAGCCTGTTCAGTCAGCGTACGTTACGAAGCTACCACGCCAAGTTTGGCCGGGGGCGGGAGACGGCGCGCGGAGACTGCGCTCGGGGCCTTGTGGGTGACCTTGCGGAGAGCACGAGAGAGGTCGTTGTGGCGCCTTTTCTAGTGGGGGTGAGGAAGTGCGGGAGAGAAACGAGTCCGTACAGTAAGGAGAGGAAGAGAGCAAAGACTATGCGGGATTTGCAGGTTGGTTGTGAACAGGGCAGGGGCGGGAGGGGGTGGATGCTGGAGCGGACGCAGAGCGATTTTGGGGATGAGAGATGAGGGATACATGGGTGTTGATGAGGGCCATAGGTAGATGAATGGTACTTGGTATCGTTGTTTGCTATGGTGTTCTTTTGAGATTCCTGGAAGAGAGACTTGCTTTGTTGGTGCGGGTCTGGCCTTAGCTCACGGATGGTGTGTGGCTTCGATCTGAGACTATGTATGGCACTGACGACGACGCCTCTTCTCCTCGCGGTATCTGGTCTCGTTCTTCGACGCGGGCTGTCTAGTCGACGGAGTGTATCAGCCTCGCAAAGGTGATATTGTTAGTACTGGCGTTGAATGAGATTGCCGCGATTAGATTAGCAGTGACTAGCAAGTGGTTGCCAGCTACTTGTTGCCATGGCGGGTTCGTTTCTAAGGCTCGTCCGAATGAAAGCTTAATGGAACGATGCCTTTGACTTCTTGCTAATGTGTGCTCGAGCTGAAGGTATGCATACACTTGTGACCGACAGGCTCTTCTATTTCGAAATTTGTTTGATCGTCTTGCCCGGCACCCTCGTCTCGGCAGATGCGCGGTCTTACTTCGTGCACCCTCTGTTCTAGACAGTGGAGATTTGAACATCCAGCTTCTTCGGAGCGAGCTAGGCTCATGCATGCTGCGTTGATGCGCATGCTCTGACGAAGCTGATAATTGGTCGGATATTCTTCGCCATGAATTTCCGGCTTCTCACACTCAAGCCGACAGCGCTAAATGGACCTAGTTACACTCACTGCTCTACTCTTCATCACCATCACCACACCCGCCGCAGGGCAATACCACGCTCACCACAACACCGATCCAAACAATCACACACGCCCCGCCGCCTCGACCTGACTGCCGGAGATCACGATGGGCCCCGCCAATAGGAAGCCGCTGTCTTTGGCCTGATCTTGGTACGCTAGACACGGCCGCTGGCCGGTGCGCGACTGACGTGCGGCTTACGAAACGCAGGGTAGGTAGGTCTGTGAGGTGCGGAGTCAGGGGTTGTATTTGAACGAGGACTTGAGCGAAGCGCACAGCGTGGCTGTCTCGAAACAGTCCATATCCCGGCTCCACTCGCGATTGTCCACGCGATTCACGACCATCTCGTAGGTAGGCACTTCTGGACATGACGTGGGGGCGTGCGACCGAGGCTCAGCAGGGAAGCGAGGGGCCGTGCGAGTGCACGCTCACACTCATAATCTCTGTGGGGACTCGGAAGCTGGAAACCGAATCTGCATCCTGGCTTGTACCTGAATTACGCAGGTCCGCGCCGTGACCAGCCGGGTCTTTACATGCCTTGGAACGCGGTGATCGCTGGAATTCCTCCGAAGCAGCCACACGGCAAGGTCAACTGCGCCAGGTCCTTTTGACCCCTACGTATGGCTGCCGCTCTTATAGCAGTAATCATTGCCGGGGTGCAATCGCGTGTCCATGTCAGCACTGCAGATACCTGTGTAAGGCCAAGGGCGTTTCGCATTGCGTCTTGCCTTGATCGGATGCCGTGCCGTTCCGCGGGAGGATGCAGGATGAAAGCGCGCGTTGAACACGCGTGAAGTCAAAACGGGCATCCTGACTCCACATCATGCATATTGGTATCTGCACGTGGGAGCTGTGTCGGCGCTTGCCGTGATGATGATTGTTTTCAATGCAGTGAAGTGTACGTATTCCCATCTCTGCAGCGACGCGGTTAGTACCGGTATCAGTTGAACGCCACCAGTGCAAAAGTGGCTTGGCTGAAGGTGTAGAGAGACGGCGATGTACAGAGTCGCTAGTCCCTCTCTGCGGCCTGCTGCTTTGCGGTCTCCTGACCGCTCGGACTGTTTGCTCCACCACTATTCCCACGCGACAGAAGTTCGTAGTCGGCCCATTTCGGCAAGCCACATATTCCTTGCATTAAGGCAGGGCTCGCACGCACCCGCTGCTCGTCGGGCCAGATGAGGTAGGCTGGCTGTTGAGCGCAATTTGCAGCTTTAATCATTGCGGCTGAATCTGGACGTTTGCTGTGGCGGTGTGTGTGATGTACGCTGGGTCTTCGATAAAGATAGACATCGCTCGTGCGAGCTGAGTACAAATCTTGAATGAAGTGAGTAGTGATTGCTCTGTGCGATTCCCTATTTTCGTGTGTGGTTTAAGTGGCGATATATCTGAAGCGATTGGCACTCAAGTTGAAGGTTAAAGTATCTGAGCATTAACTATGGGGTATAAGTGTCGTAAATCGCAGAAGCGCATTAGTTATCTGAAACGTGGATCCTGACCGCGGGAAATTATTGACGACCTCTCCTCATCGATCCAGAATGATTTCGACACCATGATGCCCATCTGGTCTTCGCTGCTATTCCTCGAGCTCTTTATTCTTAGGCTTCTTTCACTCTCGTTGTCGGCCCGGACTCGACTCTCCGTCATGCTCTGCTGCAGCCCATTACCGTTGAACCGGTTTGGTGATTTCGAGAGGCTGGAGTCCTTTGCGAGCGAGTCATCTGATACTCGTGTCTCTTCGACATTGGTCAATTTGTACATGTCGAGTTCATTCTTGCTTCCTTTACGTCTGCTGTTGAGCATCTGGCTGGCGGGTGGGGTTTGGAGGCCGTATTGCGAAGGTCTCGGTTGTGTGGGTCGTGTGGATAGGCCAATCTGGTGCATGACGAGGGCAAAGAGAGGGCGCAGAGTCGCGAGACTACCAGCTGTGATGGCAAGACCCTGTTCGACGCTTGACCAGATAGCGACATCGAGTGTGTCCCCTGATCGATATTAGAATACATAGCGTGACGTGGTTCTAGGTGACTTACAGAGGAAGTCAGGCGAATTCAGCTTCGGAAGAGAAGGGAGACGCGCAATGACAGCAGCGCTGGCAACGCAGCCCATAGTAAGGAGCGGAATGAGGGCTATCTTTGTCCTCCTCTTGAGCTGCAGGTTCCAGACCAGGGCAGCCGGGAGCAGAGCGAACGTGAAATCGGCGATGATGCTGAAGATGCTGTAGACGAAACCGAGGGCGATGATGACAGTGTTGTTGATGCATATGCCGTCCGGGAGTGACTTGGCCCAGAAGTATCTGATGGGGTGGCACTGAAAGAGCGTGACGAAGAAGAAGGCCGTGCAGGCAAAGGTGGAGACGAACATGGCGGCGTAAATAATCCAGGTGTGGATGCGCTTGACGGAAATGCGAAGCAGGAAGCAACCGATAGAGATCTTGGACAGGATCATAGAGCAGCAGTAGAAGAGGTAGCAGTAGAACCAGCATTTCCGTGCCTTGTCGACCTGCCAGTCCTCAAGGTCCCGGTGGTGGCGGCCAGTACCATAGTGCGCTCCTATTGTGGATGTGACGCCATATCCAACGAAGAAGATCTGTGAATCGTCAGTGACCGCGAGCTTACGATGGGCGCAGTATTGCTCACTGTTGAGGCGACCATGAGGCAGTCATCGACACCGAACGCTTTCACCATTTTCACCCGAACGATACATCGTAGCGCGTTTGCAATAACCGCCGTAGCCATGAAGGCTACGTTCACTCCAACGAGTTCGGGTCCACGGTTAGGGATCGCCATGATATCGTCCGGTGAAGGTAGCCGTTTACATGGACCTTGAAGAAGGAAAACCCCCAGAGCCAGACCTGCTGACCAAAGGGGTCAGGTCTGTTCTATATCCTCAGAGGTGGACCTCGACCGCGGGTCTCTGCGACTGGCCGCGTGGAGTGGATCCATCAACGGGCTGAATGTGTAGGATCCGTCCGTTTCAGGGAGTGACATTTACCCCAAAAAGGTCTGTTCCGCGCATCCTTACTGACGAGGCAGGGAAACTGTCTTGGTGACATGCATGTACCGGGATTCTCCAAAGCTATGGTACTCTGGTAAATCCATGGGCCCAGGACGAACTGTGCCTGGCCTTCTGTGCGCAGTGGAAGCCATTCAGGGCCTTCGGAGCTGCGAGTGGCGACACTCAACGAGTAGTGGCCAAGGGTACTTTTGGGCCGCCCGTCTAGCTGCAAGGCACACGGCAAGAGGCAGGCTGATCAACAGAACCCGACTCCAATCCGACCAACCGCGGGAGGAACGGTCGAGCCACCGAAACTGGCGGTGCGCTAGTCAGGAAACACGGAAGCAGCTTCAAGTTAAGCCTACCGCCCACGTGCCGCACTGACGCAAAAGCGGCTAAAGGGTGAGATCCTTGCACTAACGCTTACGCCCGTGCTTTCGCTTACATATTTGCGACGCTTCGGAGGCATGAATCAAACGAGAAGCTGTCACCTCTGATATTCGCTGGCCTCGATTCCGACATGGACGTCGCGTTGATCGCCAGCAGTTTCATGCATGCCATCCCGGGTCTCGGTGTTTTAGAACCTTGAGACGATCCTCTACCTCCTCCGGGCAATTGCCGTGCAAACTCAAACCGACAGTGCGGACGACCCTCCACTATTGGTCCAAAATTTCACATCAGCGAGGAACTTATTCTCCAAGGAGCCTTCTCCTTTTGTCGCCCCTCTATATCCAGGATAGCCATATCGCACCTGCATATAGCATACCATAATGCAGCAAGACGACAGCTGTGTTTTGGAAGCGGCGGCCGCAGCCGAAACCTTTCTGCAGCTTGAAGCATAGCGCTGATTGGCCTGGCGCATCCAAGTCCGTCGTGAGATTAGGCGCCCTGCGATATTTCCGCAGGCGCCAGTAGTACCTCCCCACTTCGTGAGGCAGCGAGTCTACCACCATTGTTGAGACGGCTTTCTCAAGGTTGTTCCAGCACGCGGACTGCCACACCTGAACCTAGAGCTTCGAGGACGAGATAATCTCTGGGAAACTGTCAACGGAGTCGCCCGCCGAGCCCGTGGAGCATCATGATCCGTCTTGGAGTGCGACGTGGAGTCTTGCGAAAGCTTCAGAGATGGCATGGCCATGAATATGGAAATCCCGTGCTGAGTCGGCCGAGCACCGTCGATGACGACAAATACAATCATCATATGCGAAGCAGATATGCGATTAGTCACTCGGTTTGTGATTTCACATCCACGATCGGGCAGTACGAACAATCGTGCGAAAGGCTACATGTACTCTACGACAGCATCCTTCCGGGCATCACATTCGATTATGCCTTACATGCAATCACAGTTGTTGATCGCTCGGCAAATTGACGTTACACCGAGAGCTTCCGTACGCGGGTCATGCCGTCCATGCTGCTACCGATTCTTGAAGTCCGGCGCCGTCCGAAGTCTATGAGCTGCTGCAGGCCAGGCGAAGCCTCCGCAAGGTTTGGCCTCGCACTGTTAAATGCTTGTCCGCGACCTCGTCCTCGCACTGTTAAATGCTTGTCCGCGACTTCGTCCTCGTACACGAAAATGGATACAAGATGTGCGCAGGAATACAACTGTTTCGGCTTCAGCACCACATCTGCTTACGTTGGGTAAGTGGCTTCAACAGCAATCCGGATTCCACTCACAACTACCCACATCATACACAAGCATCGCCCGGCGCACGGCAGTTGTGGAAGAGATGTGCACGATGACATATTTCCGACCGTTGCGCGTTTCATCACACGAGGTCAAACCACGTCGATCACATTTTGCTCTCACAAGATTAGAAGCGCAACTGTTGAACGAACACTGTCTGCAAGAGAGAGCAATGGTTGTTGAGCTTTGACCGTGATCTGACACCCGGCGACACCTACCCACCACCGTATTGACCCTGGCAGACAAGCCTAGCAGCGGGATCCTCGAGTGCTTCAAAAGCTTACGGCCCGATTCTACGACGTCCACGGTGCATTCATTCAGACGTCTGCTCAATCAAGACAGAAAGCATCGTCAAGACTGCTGGCGTCTGCACGTCACCTTGGCCAACACAGCTTCAGACTAAGTCTACAGTCGCAGACTAACAACTCCTGCTACTTGCTCGCTTTCTGCCGCCTAGTCTAAAGTAACAACAGTACAATGAAACGTTGGCAACGTCAAAATCAGTCGATTGCTACTTCTGCTGCAGATGGCACACCGGCAGTCGTAACTTGCAGAGCAAAGTATCGAATACCGGGTTTGTACAGCATCATCCCAGGATCCCTGCGCTTATCACATGCTTTGCCCTGATATGTTAGTGTCAGCGCTCTGGATACCGATAGGCTGACGCATTTTCCCAGACGGGGGGAGTTCTTTCGACACATATTCCAACATGCACCGAGCCACAGAGACATGACGCGCCAACATCATACATCAGACTCAAAGGAGCAGGATTCGCCTCTGCTGCTGCAACTCTGACAACAGATTCACTTGAATTTAGAGAAGACTGGGTCATGTCTTTTACCATTATTTGCCAACAACTCTTCCTGAATCCCAGCTGCGGCCAGCCACACAGTAAAGTCTTCAGCGTCCCCAAGCACCGCCATGCCCCTGCGGGGCACGAGATTCGCTACAGTAGCAGTAGCAGTAGGACTCCGGTTCTTGGCCACCGCGGAGTTTTCTAGCGATCTAGCTGCCGCCACAGGCAAACTGTTTCGTGTACACTGGCCAGGCCACTTGCTCTCACTCTGACTCGCAATCGCGCTGCTGACAGTGAAGGGTGCATTCTCGGCATGTCAAGCAGACTGCACGCGTCGTGTAATTTTCACCAATTGTTCATGTGGCGCGGTGACGTGTTCTTGCAACATGTTCTTGCGAGTCCTACATTAGCTCATCACACGGCAAATGGTCGCTCGAACATGGTCAGAGGGGTTCTGTGAGGGTATCATGTGCGCTTGGATTCTGGGCCGCCTGTGCTGTGGAAAGGCAACAGACATGGCTGTGCTGTGCGAAAGCTAGTCCAGGCCGGAGAACTTCAGGATGCCGTGGCTGTTCTGCTGCTTGCCCTTGTTGCGCTTTTTCTTCTTGCGTTTGCTCTGCTGCTCCTCTTCGCTGCTGGAGGCCGCGTCCGAGGCGCTGTCTTGGTCCGAGCTGCTCTCGTGCAGCCTCTTCGCGGCCGGCTCCTCGAGGCCTTCGTCACGATCCTCGTCATGGTCCTCTTCCTCCTCCTCTTCCTCTTCATCGTCCTCTTCAGCTTCGCTGGCATCCACCGCGCCCTTCTCGCGCCAGATCTTCACCGTCGGCCCTCCACCGCTGATCATCCTGCCCGTGACATCGAAGCCCAGACCGATCACGCCCTCCCGCGCCAGCTCGTCATGCTTCAGCTCCCCGATGAGCTTGTTTTTCCCAATTTTGACAAAGCGAATATCCCCATTCCCCAGCCCAACAGCGGCGATGCGGCCCCCGGGCCCCACGCCCGGCGGCAGCAGCGCCAGGGCATCCAGGCTCTCGGCGCCCTCCTTGCCCTTGGCACGGTCGACGGTGATGCGCTCGTCCTGGTCGTCCCACACGCCCCGCTCCCACAGTGTCAGCACGCCGTTGCCGCCCCCGACCAGCACCTTCTCGCCGACGTTGGAGCCCTTCTTGGACAGGCCGGTCACGATCACCGAGGACAGGAGCTCTTCTTCCTGGTCCTCGGAGCGCACCATGACGCCCCGCCGCAGATCGGTCACGGCCAGCGTGCTGCCGCCTGTCGTCACCCACTGCTTGCTGAAGCCGCTGGTGCTGGTGTCGCTGGGCGGGAGGGGGGTCAGCGAGGACATGTAGTCGTCGTGCGGGCGGTGTGTGGCCTCGGGTCTCGGCGCCCTGGACGGGCCGAGCGCGCGGATGTCGTAGATGTGCAGCGCTGACGAGTCGGTGCCGAGAATCAGAGACTGCGGTGAGAGTGCGTGGACGAGGGTCGGGGCGTCGATGCCGCCGGTGGCGCTGCCGGTGTCAGTCCCCCTGAGCATAATTGCCGTGTCGCGGGATAGCGACCTACGCATCCAGAGGCACGGCGATCTTGGCCGTCACCTGACCTGTCGTCGAATCGGCGACCTTCACGATGCCGTCGGTGCCCGCCGAGTACAGCTGAGCGCCGTCGACGCTGAAGCCGAGCGTGCGGCAGCTGCCCTTGTGCCGCCGCGTCTTCCACAGCGTGTCCACGTGCCCGAAGCCGCTCGCTGGGGTCGCGGAGCCGCCATCATGGCCGCCGGGCAGCCTGTACGTCTGCACGTGCCCGGATGCGAGGCCCACAGCGACGATTGGCTCATCCGGGTGGATGGCCTGCGCGAACAGGTCGTAGTCGAGCGGGATCGCGCACACGTTCTCGAACATGGCTGCGGCGTGGCGTTGCGCTGGAGATGTCGAGATGTGTTGTGAGCGCTTTGTCTGCATCTGCATCTGCAACTTTTCTGTGGGCCTCGGCTCGACCTGCCTTCCCAATCACGCCCGCCCGGCCCCCCAACAGACCACGCATCTTCATCTTCGTAGCCATCGAACAGGTACTTTTTCCGCCTGTTCATCGCCCTCACCTCACAATTCATCTCCTCGACCCACCATGACCCTGCAGGTTCGCCGCCATGTGGATGCGTGCATACCTCCAAGGGCAGTTTGTCCGGATCACGTTTCCCAGTGATTGGCTGTCAGCCTCACTTGCATCCTCGCACCGCAACTATTCGCCAGCAGCTGTGCGGCCGAAGGAACAGCGTCAAAAACATGCACATTCATAAGAGAGCTCATGGAGCTTCAATTCCTGACCTCGTCGATTCTCTTCAACACCACAACAGTCGGGATGATTGCTTCATCACTCCTGTACGGCCTCCTCGCCGCCGCGTCAGTAGTCGACGCAGCATCGCACAAGAAGCAGATCAAGTACGAGGTCGTGCCTGGCATCTTCGCGCAGGACGATAACGCCACGGACCCCACGACGTTCAACTTCTTGACCTCCAACTTCGGCCTGCTCAACCGCACCTACCCCAGCGACCCCGTGACGCCGGACAGCAAGTACACCACGCAATGGCAGCGCCTGAACAAGTACATCAAGGCCCTGAATAAGGAGAAGAAGACCCGCTACTCCCTACTCTTCCTTGGCCGCCACGGTGAAGGCTTCCACAACGCCGCTGAAACCTACTTCGGCACACCGGCTTGGAACTGCTACTGGTCTGAATTGGACGGCAATGCCACCGTGACGTGGGCCGACGCAAAGCTGACCCAGAACGGAATCAAGCAGGCCCAAGACGTGAACGCCTTCTGGGCGCACCTCATCGCCGACGAGAAGATTTCGCCCCCGGAGAGCTACTACACCAGCCCTCTGTACCGCTGCCTGGACACCGCGAAACTCACCTTCTCGAACCTAACGTTGCCAAAGAAGAGCCTCTTTGTGCCGACAGTCAAGGAGTTGCTGCGCGAGGGCATCAGCGCGCACACCTGTGACCGCCGCAGCAGCAAGACGTATATCCACCAGAACTTCCCCAGCTACAGGTTCGAGAAGGGCTTTGCCGAAGAGGATCCGTACTGGAAGGAGCTCATGGCTGAGCCGAGCGCGGACCAGGACATCCGCTCCAAAGCTGTTCTTGACGATATTTTCTCGAACGATGATAGCACGTACATCTCCATCACGAGCCATTCTGGCGAGATCAGCAGCCTGCTGCGCGGTACGTATTGTTGTTCTTTAGGATAGAGACTGGATGCTGAATGTATACAGTACTTGGCCACCGCACCTTCAGGCTTGCGACCGGCGCTGCGATTCCAGTGCTGGTCAAGCAGACTACGCTCACGGGCGATGCACCGGTTACTACGACTGTGCCGTGGGATGCGCAGGCCACGTGCACTGCGCCGCCTACAATTCGCGATTCGAGCTGCAACGACTGCTCGTGCTGTCTGTAGACCGACCTCCTAGCCTAATGTCCCTAGCCTAATGTATGATTGTCGGTCGATATATTCCATCTTCGTCGGCTCCACGCTTGCATCCGGTCTTACTATTGTGGAAAGTCTTGGCCTCGTCGCCGGAGATGAAATCATTAGGAGCTCCTACCAGAAGAGGGACTTTAGACGTCTCTTTTAAGGGCCGAGGGCTGTACCATGAATGAATTGACCCCGCAGCTGTGATGCAAAGATGTAGAAGATATGGCATCTCCCTCGCGCCGTGCCGGTGATAGTTGAGCCGGGCCTACAAGTTTCTGTCGATATGTGGAGTTGATTGGGAGCGTTGCGGCGCAGTCACGGTCAACTCCACAACAGCGGCTCGAGGCGCCCGGCACACCCAATGAGGAAATAAACCGAGCGCCAGCATGAGGCTGGTATACATAGAACACCGACCCACCATGCAGCCGCCGGCTTGCTGTGCCTCATGCTAGATACTGCGGCGCAGCTAACGGCGATTGTAATAAAGGTTGAAAGAATATCGTGCTGTTACACATGCCAATCTCTCATCGCAGAAAAATCACAGCTTCCATCTATCCAATCTCATCTGCACACGTGCATTCAGGAACGATTACGACACCACCTCAGTCGGTCCAAGCCCATCTCCCATCAAAACATGATGTTCTCCGGCTACATTTTAGCGTTCGCAAACTTCCTTGCTCTCGTAACATCAGCGCCCACACCGTCTACATCATCACCAGGTCTGGCGACTGTGGACCTGCGCATTGTCGGTCCACAAAGCGCACATTATACCACCGACACCCAGTCGCCGACAAGCGACCAAAATCGACATCTTACCATCATCGTCGGCCAAACACTATCGCTCGACCACGACCCTATACCCATCCAAGGGCTGCAGGTTGCAGCAATCAAGGCTGGCGATTCGTTGTCGCTGCTACCCACGACCGTCGAGACAGATGACTGGAGAGTGACATGTTTGGCGCGCATCTATGGGAGGGAGGATCTTTTCGAGTTCGATATTAAAGATAAAGGCGTGTTGCTGGCAGGAGGCAGATTGGCGAAAGTCACTCGGTTGAGCTGCGCCGTGGTCGAGGAGGCAACACGGTGAGCTAGGTATTCTGCGTGTATTTTGTTGGCTTGGCTTGCTGCACAGCGCCAGCGTTGGGTATCTTGTTCTTTTCCTGCATCTCAGCTCTTCAGGCCTTTCATCAAACGTTCGACAATATCAATACCCATCTGCTCTTCTGCGGAAAGTGCTTTACGCTCTTCTTCCTTCCCCTTCGTGTCAAAGCCTCCACTCGACATGATCTGCTCCATCATGCGTATGCCCTTCAGCTCTTGTAGCGGTGGAATATTGTTGAGCGCTTCAGGATCCACCTTGTTGAAGTCAACACCGCCTGGCGGCTTGACAGCGCCCTCAACTTCCAAGACTCGCTCAGGTGTGACGACAAAGTCGCACTGCACCTCGCCATTCTTGTCTGCCTTGATCTTGTCGAGCCCATTCTGCGCCTCATCCACGACCTGGCACTCGTGCGCAACCGCTACAACTGGGGCCGCGGCGCTCAGCACCTTGAGATCCTGTAGTAGCGCCCACTGCACCTCAAATAACGCAGAGCCTTCCCAGACAACAACGCCTTGCTCGTTGAACACCAGACCACCCATTACACACATGTCGATTCTAATCCCCTCGTCACGAAGCTGCGACAGATCCAGTCTTCTTCCAATTCCAGGCTTTTCCATGCCATCAAGTGTACTCGCAAGCCCCAGCCCGCTCTCTGCTATGCTCTTTGGATCCAACACCACAAACCCCCTTCTCAACCTATACGTGCCCACGACGACCCTCTTCCCATCCCTCAACGCCCTGTATCTCAGCCACTCGCAGCTATTATCGCTAGTGACCAGCACCGTCCGTGCATCCTTGTAGCACTGCAACTCCACTAATCGCTCAACGGCATCCTCCGAGCCACGAAAGTCAGGCGTGAACTTGAGAAAGTCCAAGTTGAAGCGCGAGTCGGGCAACGCGTAGCGCAGAAGCTGCTGATATACGCCTGACCAGAGGATCTTGCGGGGCAATCCGGGTGCGGGTACGGCCATGACGGCTACGTGATATGGAGGGATTTGGATGGTGAGATGTGAGGCGCGTGAGGCAGTGCGCCTTATGAGTTGTGCGTGCGAGACATTGTGGGTGTGCTGCGGGTGCACGAGGCCCCGCTGCGGGGAGCGCGACACGAGGGGCTATTTTGAATCGCTGGGCATCGTCACGTGTGCATCTGTACAATGACGGAGTCTCCGATCGAGACTTTTTTGAATTCGAGCATCAGACATGCGATTGTTGTTTCGATACGCCGCGCCGTGGTGAGTGCTTTTCCGTCACTCCCGCGGGAGCGCGCGTCATGATGCCTTTTCCGGTCCCTCCTGCCTCGCCATTGGCTGGAGCTGCAACATCCCATGCATCGTGACTCGTGGTTATACCCGTCGTATAGCCGCGACTCACTCATCGCAGATGTTCTGCTGCTTCGTTCTGATGAATCACACCAGCGCGGGAGCTGTGCGAGCTACTCAACATACCATACGCAGCAGCAATGGCGGCAGCGTCAGAGCTATCGTCGGAGGACGATATCCACCACCTTGACCCAAAGGATGAGATGGCAGATACCACTAGACAGGACGAGATAAATCTGAAAGAGATGGAGAACGGCCTGGACACAACACCCTCACCACCAACATGCGCGTCACAAAACACCCAACACGAGACGAGCTCGATCCCCCCTCAACCCTCAAAGCTCGAGAAGACCACCCGGTGGCTGCTCTGGTTCCTCAAGGACCAATGGTTCCTGCTCGCGATGGCCACAATTATCCTCGTCTCGTCCCAGATGCAAGTCCCAGCCTCCCAACAGAAGATCAAGAGGACAGTCATAACCTACCTCTCCGTATCCGTCATTTTCTTCATAAACGGTTGCACTCTGCCCACCCGCGTTCTGATTGAGAACTACATGCGCTGGAAACTGCATTTCTTCGTGCAACTCCAATGCTACCTCGTATGCAGCGCGGCGACATTTGGCATCGTGTCGCTGTGCGCCACGAATCCGAAATTCATGGACCCATGGCTGCTGATTGGGTTCTTGTTCGTCGGCAGCGCGCCGACGACGATGAGCTCCAACGTCGTCATGACGAGACAGGCGCACGGCAACACGGCACTCACGGTCGTGCAGAGCGTCATCGGCCAGTTCCTATGTCCGTTTCTCACCCCCGTCATCGTGCAGATGTACCTCGGCTCTGGCGCGTGGTACTCGCAGGTCCTCGAGAAGGGGAGCGGGTATGGCGATATCTATCGGCGCGTCTTCATGCAATTGGGATTGAGCCTGTTTCTGCCCATGGCGGTCGGGCAGGTGGTGCAGTATTTGGCCCCGAAAGTGTGCAAAAAGGTGTTCATTGAGTGGCGGCTGATGAAGCTTTCTTCCGTGGCGCTGCTCACGCTCGTGTGGCAGACGTTCGATCAGGCGTTTCAGAGCCGCGCATTTGAGAGCGTGAAGAGGAGCAATATCGTTTTCATTGTATTCATCAGCGCGGCGCTGTATTTTCTGTGGACGGCGCTATGTTTCACGACGAGCACCATTTGGCTGCCGAAAAAGGACGTCATTGCGTGTTGTTATTGTTGTCCGGCGAAGGCGCTGGCTATGGTGGTCCCGCTGACGAGCGTCATGTATATCAACATCAGTCCGATGGAGCAGTCGAAGATGCAGATTCCGGCCATCATTTTCCAGGCGTTCCAAGTTGGGATTGGAGGGCTGATGACGATTGCGTTTCGAAGATGGATCAGGTCTGAGGAAGAGATGGAGGAGGCGAACAAGGCGGAGAAAGCAGATAATGCGCAGACCGAGCAGGCGAGATAGAGATATGTAAGCTCACATGTATTATATCCTAGACCAGGCATATACTCCTCTCCAACAGGCATTCACCCTACACGTCCTTTATTTTTTATTGGGATGGAACATCAATGAGCAACACTGAAAATGTTCATCGCACTGCCCTACATTTAGAATTTGACACGAGCACACGCGCGAAATGTGTATCCATAGGCGTCATGATGTCCGTCGCTCCAACCCACGTCTCGGAAGTCGGCAGTCGCTATTTCTTGAACTTCGTCATCTGTAATTTCACCAGCCTTCTTCTTCTGGACCACGAAATTACCGCACAGCTTAGTGGAAAGGAGGATTTCGTCGCCATGGGTCGCGCAAGGGCTCCACTGAGCCACGCGGGCGCTGCCCTTGGTAGTAAAGATGCACTCAACGAGGGGAGGGAGTCTTGTGCGAATAGTACGGCTGAGGCCGCGTGGTGAACGTCTGACAAGACTTTCAGACCGTGGTTTTGCTGCACATATGACCGAGTTGGCCTGCTACCAGGCAGCATTGGAAGTGCATGATATTCAGTCTTGCCTTGCTGCATACCTCGTCGAACAATTGATAGTGGTCACGTTGTACTTTAAGTGCAATCGTCGTAGCCCGGATTTATGTCGATGGCAAAAGTCACAAATTTTGCGTCATTGAGGAGTTTTCGAAGGCTCGACTTCTATTCTGGCCCAACTTAATGATATCTCGTATGAAAAAATCCCATGCGGCTCGATCTTAACAAGCTCAGCCATCTTGGCTCCGAGGAAGTCAGAGAATGCAGACTTGAGGCGTCTGATGACACGATTCAGAGGCGATGATGAGCTCCATGACCCAGGCTTGATGTTGCAATGTGACTCCGCGACTCAAGATCCACTGATCTTTGACGGTTCTATCTGATCGCCCGCGTTCTACCTCGTAGGATCGTCTACAGCGCTGGCGAGGACATGCTATCCTTGCACTCAAGAGACTCATCGGTCTATGCACAACTCTCAGGCATGGCGGCCTCATCTACGCAGCTCGTTCATCGAACAAAAACATTCATCTAGAGTACGACATTGTTTCCGACATCCCTAACGCGGCAATCTACCCAAAATCGCGTGGTTGGACTCGCTTAACCGACAAAAGCATCTGGCGTCTCTCCTAGATTGCTTCATCTAGCATTGCGGCGAACAACACCATGCAGCTCCTCGAATCCGGCTTGCTTGTGGGGTACCGCGTCCAGCATCCAGTTAATTCTCGATGTTTGACGCTTGGCGAAATGAGTGTACCAATCTGGAGTGCAGGTGCCTTGCCGATGCTGCATGGCCGATGCTCCGTTATTGCGATTGAGTGCTTGGTGGGCTCGATGGGCGTCGAGTCTGGGTTTTGCGACGCTGGACTTCAGCCGGTGGGCTGTGGGTATATAACTTGAAGAAAATCTGCTCAAATCTGCTCATCGACATCCAAACAAGCTCAAATCAAGCATCAACTTAAGGACCGCCAACATGAAGCTTACCACTCCTCTCATCGTCGCCGCAGCGGCATCGTCGGCAACTGCTCACACTATCTTTGTATCGCTCAATAGCGGTGCCGTCGGCGATGGTGTCCGCGTACCCTCTTACGATGGTGCAAGTTTCTCACTGCGTTCTTGATACGCCCTGAATAGTCCGACTGACGCACTAGCAGCCTATCACTGACGTGACCTCGGACGATGTCGTCTGCAACGGTGGACCTAACCCAACAGCTAGTACAAGCACTGTGATCACCGTTCAGGCCGGCTCCCAGGCGACCCTCACATGGCGCCACACTCTGACCTCCGGACCCAGCGATGTCATTGACTCCAGCCATAAGGGTCCCGTGATGGCGTACTTGAAAAAGGTCTCGGACGCGAAGACCGACACTGGTGTCGGAAGCGGCTGGTTCAAGGTACCAATACCTCCGTCCTGGCTCCGCGTATCAACTGACACTCGCTAGATCGCCGAAGACTCCTTCGACGGCACAACATGGGGCGTTGACCGCCTGATCACCAACCAAGGCAAGCAAACCATCACGATACCCGCGTGCATCACGCCCGGCCAGTACCTGCTGCGCGGCGAGCTGATCGCTCTGCACGCTGCGGGTAGCTACCCCGGTGCGCAGTTCTACATGGAGTGTGCGCAGATAAACATCACCGCAGGCAGTGCGAGCAAGACCCCTGCTACGGTCAGCTTGCCAGGCGCGTACAAGGGATCAGACCCTGGAATCACATACAACCTTTACAGCGGACAGAAGACGTACAATGCACCCGGACCTTCAGTGTTCAAGTGCTAGGTGCCTTGAGCGTGGGGAATCAAGGTGGCTGGAATGGTAGAAATCTGTACAAAAAAAGACACTATCGTATCGATAAATTCTGACAAAGCACAATACCCGCGGTCCCGAGTACGAGTTCCTGCGGGAATTGAAGTGTATAAGATATTTACGTCGCATTTTCTTACTCCAAATACCATCCGGGCGTGGTTGCAGACTGAGTGAGCAATCATTACAATTTGAATAGCGGATGGTCGGCCATTGAAAGTGACCACCACAGCCGAAAACAGCGTGATCGTGAAGGGCTCGTGAGGCAAATCCCATCGGCGCGATGTGATTTTGTGCTGACCAGAGTACGACACAGCTATAAGTACCACCGAGCTTTTGTCAAGAGGGGCTGTCAAGATAGCTTGAATCTACACAGAAAACAGGACTTGTGAAAGTGCTTGACGCCAATGACGTCAGGGATAACTAAAGCAGAACTCTCGCTGAAACTGCTGCATCGCAACTGTGCTACTTCTTCTACACGACCACTGCAACAATCGACTTGCGTCCAGTCTGGGCTTGGAAAGGGAAATCACCTGATCGTTGCACATCGTAGAGTCTATCTCGACGCAAGCCTCATATATGCGCGCCCTCGTATTCGACATTGACATTTCCGTCCCCATTTCCGCTCACGGCTCCTCTGTACGATCGATAAGACATGCCGGTAAGTAATAGAAATACACGAGGCGTGCAAACAGAGTGAATCATATGCAGACCAAGCCGCATGTACTCAAATGTATTCCTGTTCGCCCCCAACTCGTCTTGCCTTCGAAATTCGGAGGTTGAGGGTCTTTTGCCGTTGTTGGACGATTCCTCCTCAGTAGCCACAATGGAATCTATTCGGAAAGGGGTCCGCAATGCTCAAACACGGTACCGCTCGACCCTGAACCCGCGCTTCGGATGTCCAGGCCGCCACGAACGACCTCGTCTCCGGCTTAAGACTCGGCATATGGGCAGAAGCGAGACTATGACTGGCACGAGGGAATGTCAGCCTTATGAGGATTCTGGGCAGCTTCCGCGGAGCGGCGCACTAAGGCTTCGTTTGCGAGAATCCTCGAACTTGCGCTCGCTCGCAGTGGAATTCGCACTGCTTCAGCGCAGCAAATGCACGACCGTTGCCCAGAAGCATCAGGAATAAGATGGAAGCCTCTTCTTTGCAGTGCACCATTCATTTTGCGGCGTGCCCGCTCAGTCTCTAATTGGGGGTTTGCATCTGCTCTCTATAGGTATGTATCCCCCACAACGACTCGGCCAACAACCGCCCTCTAGGCTCAACGACCACAGTGAATCCCACAGAGCTCTACGTACAGCCAGGCACCACGTCGAGCGTCAGTTCGGCTAGCATGCATCCCGCGAACTGTCTGGCCGATCATCGAATCGGATTGAAGTTCACGAGCAGTTCCATGGTATCTGCACCGTTCGTATTAGCGCCAATCCATAACGTCAGCCGTGTTGTAGCCGAAGAGACTACTCGCTTGTCCTCTTTCGGCGTGCCAGTAGTCAGTTTAGGATCGTGGAGATCCAAGTCGTACGAGTTCCCGCTCGCAACCAAGCGCCTGGGCTCCCAACTTCAGCCTTGGAGTACAATTCAGCTCAAGCCGAGCATTAAGTACAAACCCCTAGCCAATGGCAGGCAACGACCGAAGCTCGAATAGGTTGACCTCACTAGTAGCGACCGCGCTTGTACCTGAAGATCACCCCACAACCACCAAAAGGGACAAGATCGATGCGAAAGCTGACAATAAGGAATCATTTTGGAGATACAATGCTTTTTTCAAAGTCTTTTCCTCTTTCAAACTTCGCCCAGGCCTAGAACATCAGGAGACTGTCATCTGAAGGTACTCAAAGAGCATGCTTGATCCCGAATCCTGACCACAAGACAAGCCACATCAACTTCGATCATTCAACAAGTCAGCCAGTCTCCTGTAATCATCATGAAGTTCAACATCATCACCGCAGGCGCCGTTCTGGTAGCCGTGGCTGCTGCCGCTCCTACACTTACTTTGTTGCGGTATCAGGGGCAAATGTATATAACGAGTGTATTGTGTTGTTGTCTGTTCTTGATCTTTGCTCTCCAAGGCTCGCTGCGAGGTCTGTTTTGATGACGTGTTTGTGATGCAGCTGAGGTAAGGGGTGCTCAACAACATGAGGAAGTAGCACCAGACCACCGCCAACAACACGTGATCTGCTTCTCCTCTCAACCGTTACATACTCACCGGACCTCCTGTTGTCTACCAGACTGCGCCAAGTGCGCCACTAATCACCGCAACTACTCTGCCTGCGCCGGCCACTGCCACTGCTGAGGCCCAGAGAATGAAGCGCGACATCAACATCTGCTACCCTCAACCTAAGGGGATCGCATACAACTCGTCCCCTGATACTGCTGGGGCTTTCTTTGCCGACAGCTACTACTCTCGGCAGGCCAGCTCCGCTAAAACCCCTCTGGGATTTAATTCTGTGCTCTCCAACATAAAGGCATCGCCGAATGCTCTTGGCTACCTTGGCTTCACCCTGATGGACAAGCGATGTACAGACTTGTGCTGACAAGTGCAACGCCGTCTCTGGTTGTACTTCTTTCAATATCTACTTCGAGCGCGATCCGTTAGTTGATCCTAATGATCCTTCCTGCTCAAACCCACCTAGTGTCACCAACATCAAATTTGTGTGGTGGAGCAGCAGGATTTCTCCTGAATTCAACTTCAACGATGGCCAATACCGCGGCGACTTCCACGTGGTCATTGCCGGTAGCAACGGTTATGCTGGCACTCCCACCCAGCGCGGGTTCCGCATCGAGACCAACGGCAGCGGCACAGTCATGGATGACCGCTGGTTGGCTGTCTCTCCCGGCGAAGGTGCTGCCGTCGCCCTCAATCCCATCGAGTACAAGCCTCAGACCTCGGTCTTCCAATTCGGTGCCGATGGCTCCCTCATCCAAATCGCACTTAAGATGGGCATGGCTGGTGTCGCGCCCAATCAGAACGGTAAGTGTGATTCCCTCCAGTATCGTGCTGTTGGCCAATCGAGGACGGACTACATCAAGTGCTCTGGCGACAACTTGATCGTCTGCACATCGAAGGTCGGTTACCAGTACGCGGGTGTCTGTCCCGGTCGCAAGCAATTCATCAGCGGCCTGTTGTACTTCGGTTTGGCGCAGAAGATGCCCAAGGACTGCTACTGGATTGGTCTTTACATCGACACGGACATCTCGGATATCGCTATGTAAGCGTGAGACTGCTTGGAGGGACTTATCCCACTTTTAGTAGATTATCAAGCACGGCATTATCAGAAAATTAAATGCATGATGGTTAGTCATGAGATTTGCATGCTACTACCGGTAATTAGTGACTCGAGTCAGACGTCGCCGGGATTGCGTTGCTTTAGCAGCATACCCCGCTTCTCCTACACAGCGCTTCTGGTGGGCAGCGCTGGTGTCTTCCGGCTAAATATCGAATCAATACCGCTAGCAATGCATGAGGCGAGCCATAGGGCCCGAAAGCAAACATGAAGGTTGTCGAGGGCAAGCGCCAGTAAGTCAATTCAGAAGTATGTAGCAAGAGAGATGCAACCAGCAGGCATCGCAGGACCGTATAAACTCGCGATTGCTGTTCAAGTTACACAGTAGTAGTCTCGCTGCTGGGGTATATGCCGGTCAATCCTTCCTGAGACGCAGGCAGTACTGGCTGATGCTTATGCTGATGGTGCTGTTTCCTGACACATCTTTGGCGCTTCTCTTATCTGAAACAGTAATATCAGTTTCACACGGTACATACTGTCGGCGTATTTTTCGGTGAAGCGGATGTGCCGGAAACAATTCGGGTTAGCTGCGCTGATGTCCAAAGCCATTAAAGACACCACCCAGTCCAGATATCTAGAGGCACCACTGCGTTGCAACATGATTAAATTTTTCTGGCTACTGTTTCCAGTCGCATTCGTAAGTATGGTGCATATACTGAGGTTGTGGATCAGCTGACAGAAACAGATTGGCTATGTGGCGCTCAAGTGCTTGTATAATATCTACCTACACCCTCTGCGATCGTACCCAGGACCGTTAGCTGCGAGAGCAAGCGTTCTTCCCTCACAGAAAAATCTCCTGCGAGGCAGACTGCATCTTTGGACACAAGATCTGCACAGACAGTATGGACCTGTTGTGCGCCTCTCCCCCAATGAGCTGTCTTTCATCGATCCAGACGTGTGGAAAGATGTGTACGGACATCGCGCTTCGGCCTTCACAAAGAGTCTCTCTTCCTATGGGCCAGATGTGCACGGAAATCCACCTGGAATTCTTCGAGCCGAAAATGCCGATCACGCCCGCCAGAGAAAGACCGTCAGTCATGCATTCAGCGATAAGGCTCTCAGGGAACAAGAAGAGCTGCTCAAAAGCTATGTTAGCTTATTGGTCGAAAAGCTTCAGGGCATAGCAGCTGGTCAGCTGCAAGCAGACCTTGTGCAATGGTGTGCGTCATGTCTTGGCCCTATCGCCGAATCGTTGCTGACTACAATAGACAATTTCACCACCTTTGACATCATGGCAGATTTGACATTCGGAGAGTCACTCAACCAGTTGTCCGATTCCGGGTACCACCCTTGGGTCTGGGCGGTCTTTTCTCACATCAAGTTAATCTCCTTATCCAGAGTCTGTCGGGAGTGGCCTGGCCTGTCAGAGCTTTTTCAAAATTTACTGCCCAAGGATGCCAAAGAAAAACGGAGACAACATCTTGAGTTTTCTGCAAACATGCTGAAGAAGCGTATGGCGCGTGAGACCGAGCGACCAGACATTTGGACATTCGTTAGCCGGAACGCTGGACAAAAGGGCGGCCTGCACGCTACGGAACTAAACAGCAACGGCGCCTTTTTCATGCTCGCGGGAACTGAGACAACCGCGACCGAATTAGCTGGTTTGACTTTCATGCTTCTGAAAAATCCGGACAAGATGCAGCGTCTGACAGACGAGATTCGCTCTTCATTCAACTCCACCGAGGATATGAACATGTCGAGTCTGTCACGTCTACAGTATCTCGGAGCTTGTATCGAGGAGGGCCTGCGTCTTTACCCGCCAGTGCCTGGGGGATTGGCTAGGGTCACTCCTCAAGATGGAGCGTCCGTGTGCGGCCGTTGGATTCCTGGTGGTGTAAGCCTCGCTCACTTTCCACATAGACGCCCTGTACTAACCTAGACCCTGCAGACCATCGTACAAGCGCCAATTTACTCAATTCATCGGTCCCCTACCAACTTCAAAGACTCTGACAGTTTCAAGCCCGAGCGCTTCTTGGCTGAAGGACACGATATATATCTTTCTGATCGTCGAGATGCGATGAATCCTTTCTCGACCGGCCCACGTAATTGCCTAGGCAAGAAGTAAGTATTCTTACCGGCTGACGGACTGATTCGAATCGCAGCTGACTTCCACAGCCTCGCGTACCACGAGATGCGCCTCGTTATGGCAAGCGTTCTGCTTCACTTCGATCTCGAGTTGTGTGATACAACAACGGATTGGCTGCACCAGGACATGCACCTTCTCTGGGATAAAAACCCACTTATGGTCAAACTTCGTGCAGTACAGTGATATGTGTAAAGCCAGCGGAGGTGGGCCACAGTCAATAGATGGACACTTTTTGTGAGCCTGTGTCTCACGCCCGATTCTCCCAGATCTCCCTTGTCAATGACCGCATACCGTGGCCGTGCGCCCGATGAGCCAGTTCAGCCGATGAGCCACCCCAACAAGATATTGACAATAGAAAAATGAAGCTGTAGAGCCACACTTAAAAGATGTTATCGCGAGACATGTTGGTGTATTGCTATATAGAGCCTTGCACTTCAATTGTGCTATTTATATTTGGCTGGTAACCGCGAGTTGCGGCCTCGCAGTGATTTTGGGTGGGGCAGACGCAGCTGGTGGTGCAGTGTCAACACGACTTTGAGCAGCCACAACACAACAACGCTTTGTTAGATTTTTTGCAGCACTGTGTGAGACTTTTTGCTTACGCTTGCTGAGTGTATTGTGAGATTTTTGAGCAATTGGAGCGTTGTGTTGCTGCTTTTTGAGCGCTTGTTCGGCAGCCAGCGCTTCAGCGTGTGCTTTCTTCGCCTTGCGACGCTCCTCAGCAGCACGCTGTTAAGCTAACTTTGCCTCCTCTTGCTGCTACTTTTTGTGAGCTGTTGCTGCCGCCTTTGCCTTTCTATCACGAGATTTTTGGAGTTGTAGCTGCGCGGCTTCATCGAGTTCTGCAGCTTTGCGCGCGCAGTCGCAGGCAAGCTTCCTGGGACTGTAAAAGACAGCGTCGCCATGCCAGTCGTCGCTGTCTTGTATAGTCAGTGTTGTCCGCTGCGTTGGGCGCTTCTTGATGATGTTAAGCCCGTGTTGTAGCTCCTCGTTTTGAGTGCAAAGAAGCTTGTTGTTGACCTGTAGCGAGTGGAGGCTCTGCGACAGCCGCTTGGCTTCGATTCTAGCCTTGTCAGCAACTGCAGCATTAAAAATTTTGCGCAGCTTAGGCCAGCTATCGCTGTCGCCATGCTTTACAATTTCTGCGTCTTTGTCTTGTTGTGGTAACGTAGATTACCGTGTGTGACGGCGTAACGCCCGCTCCGAACACCAAAATCGACAGCATAACATGAAGCTATTGAGCCACGTGCGATAGCTATAATCACAGTGTTTCTTAGAGTTAAGTTCTATAGGCCTTAATTAATATAAATAGCTATCTATATTTTGCTGGGAGCTTGATGGCTCGGCCGTGTCGTGATTAAGATCGTGGTTAGCCTGCTGCAGCACCTAAGGCTTCACCACCGCCCTAAGGCTTCGCAGCTACTCTTTTTTTTGAGCCTGCCTTTATAGCTACCTTGAGGCGTCTCCTCTGAGCTCTTCGGGCAGTTTTTTGAGCTTGTTGGAGTCGTTGTTGAGTCCTACGAGCTGCCTGTCGTGAGGCTCAATCAGCAGCCTCACGAGCCTTCTCCTCCTGCCTCATCAATTGCGCTGCTGTTCTCGCTGCACGCCTTGCTTCAACAGCCTTGAGCTTGTCCTGCCTCTGCTCCTCACGTACGCGAGCTGCCTCAGCTTTCTGGTGTTGTCGTTGCTGTTCTTCGAGCCCTTGTTGTTGCAGGCGATCACGTGCCTTATCCACCTTGCTTGGAGACCAGAATGCAGCCCCACCATGATACTCCTCATCTGCCTCTAGAGGCAGAGCCTTACCTTGCTTCCTACGCTGCCTCTCATTAATAAGAGCCTCCTTAAGTCTCACATTCTTATGCTTAGCTAGTACTAATCTAATTAAGAGTTGGTGGATTGTTTAGTTAAGCTTTAAGATCTTTCTCTAGTCTCTATTAGCTACAGCGTGATTGATTAGCTGTCTGATCTTCCTCTAATCTAACGCGCTTAGGGCTGAGGAGTCGCTATTGCTTAATTGCCCTGATTAAGCTAGCTGATTGAATTGTTTGAGTATCGCCTCTGGCTTAAAAGGTTGGTTGGTTGGTTAGTATTCATTTTACATCTAATTAATGAGGATGAAGTCCACTATCTCACCTCCTAAAGGGCATATACAACGTGCTAAGCTATAGAATTATAGTGCAAATACACTACCCTAGAAAGCATTTCTTGCCTACGCAGGTGTTGCTACTATGTTATGCTACAGCTCCCCTTCTAACTAGGGAGACTAAGCAATCTGTGTACATTAGGGTAGATCCCTTGTCTATGTTTAGAGGCAGGTAAGTGCCTAAAGAGTAGGAGAGAGGAAGAGGGAGAGTAAGAAGGAGAGTAAGGAAAGAGTGTAGTTGTTTGCTGCTGTTACAGCACAGGGTAAGCTACATCGGGAAAAGTTTTTCGAAATCCGGCCCAGACTGGCTGTTGCTGACAGTCGTGGCATGGTCGTGCTAGACTGGCGGATGGGTACCATGTACCTAGGGTAGGGTATAGGTAGGGTATAGGTCGCACGGACGTAGGTATAGGTAGGGTAGGGTCGCACGGACCATAGGTATAGGTAGGGTAGGGTTGCACGGACCATAGGTAGGGGAGGGTAGCACGTGACTAGGTATAGGTATAGGTAGGGTAGCACGTGCTAGGTATAGGTTTGGTTTGGGTATATTACTAACCTAGTTTGTATACAACTAACCCTAGGTTGTACTAGTAGATTCTTTCGCATACACAATACTTAGAAGAAAAAGCATCTATAATTTATTATCACAGTCTATTATCACATACTTATGCTCTAAAGTATACAATAGTACAAAGTCTAGAGTAGTAACCTAGATTTTG